TTTTCATGTAATATTTGGTCCTGATTGGCTTTGAGAAAACTTTTGTCTTTCAAAAGTAAAACAGATTCTCAATCTAGATTTATAAAAGAATCCAAGCTGTACTCCAGATATCAGTAATTTCTGCATGCCAAGGAGTGTTCATCATGGCCAAATACTTTATCAGCATTTTGTGCCCCAAACTTAAAAAAAAAAAGCATTAACCAGGCAAACTGTCTTACTTTTAGCTCCTTTAAGAAAGGATCCATATAAAATGGTTTATATCCAAGTTCCTTGGAAAAAAAATGAATCAATAATACATATCCTTCTGTATTGACTTTTCTGTCAAATTGGCATTAATTTTTTTAAATTTAACTTCTTTCAGCATCGTCCTAGCAAATCAAAGGCCAGTTTTGCTCTATCCCAGGGGTCTTCAAACTTGGCCCTTTTATGACTTGTGGACTTCAACTCCCAGAATTCCTCAGCCATCCTGTCGAGCAGAACTTTAGAGGGCCTCCAGGAGTGGCCTGTAGGAATAGCAATCCTGCTTACCAGGCAGTTGTTTAGTTTTCCCTCTTTAGAATCTTATGGCTGGAATAGAATTTTAAAAATGTAATCTTAGTATTTTACAGTGCTAAATAACAGTCAGTGATAGATAATAAACTTGTATTCATTCATTGGTAAAATTAAATATACTGACTCATCAGAAAAATAGCTCAAACTTTTAGTTGCAATTGAATTAAAATTTAGATATTTAATTCTGTTTATTTTTAATATTTTATTCCTTTTGTTTTTGCTAACTTGTGATTTGTTTAATAATTATTTTAGCCAGTTGACTCTTATATATTTAAAAGTTCTATTTTGTTTTATTTTATTGCAGTCTGTCTCTATCCTATTTTGAGATTTTATTTGAGTTGTTGTCTCTAAGAGTAAAGGTACCATTGTTACATTTATTTATTTAAGTCAAACTTTGTTTTTAAGGTGACCAACTGCCCTCCTTTAGGGAGGACACTCCTCCTTTTTAAGTTCTGTCCTTCCTCGAAAAGTGTCCTCCTACATGTCCTCCTTTTCGATATTTGAAGATTAATCTGCAGGGCTTTTTTTTTTCTTATAGAATGCTCAGAATGGCGTTCTGGCACCTTTTTTTTTTGATGGTTTTTTTTCAACTTTTGCATGAGCTGTGCTACTCCCCCTATTGGCTTTCGAAAGCCAATAGGAATTGCTGTTGAGCGCGCCAAAACACCCGGCCAGCAGACTTTGCACATATAAGTTGTCTGCTGCGAAGGCGAATTGGTAGGAACTTTGCACCCCTCCCTGCTACACCATCTCCTAGTTAGTCCCAAAGATACCTGGAGGAGACTGGAACGGAGACGCCATGGTAACTTTCTCTTGATCTTCAGCCCTGCTAGGGCAATAATGGCTGCGGGCGCAAGAAGCAGGGGCGGCGGGGCTGCTGCGGGCAGGAGTGTGAGGAGCGGTGGTGGCCGGCTGCCCCCCTGTGCTGTGGGAGCCGCGGGGCCTGCTCTACATGGGGCTGTGCAGGGTGGGCGGTGGTGCTGGCGGGGCGGCTGCAGGTGGGGTATGTTGATGACGGGCTGCCCCCCCCCGGGGCTGGAGCCAGCACAGCTGGTGCTTTGGGAGCTGCAGGGCCCGCTCTACACTGCAGGGCAGCAGTGCTGGCGGGGCGGCTGCGGGCGCGGCATGTAAGCATAATTACAATATAAAATGTTATTGTTACAAATGTTTTTTATTATGCATTTATCATATTATAGTGTATTCTGTATTATTGTTGCAATGAATAAAATGTTTCTTTTATTTACAATATTTTTTCTTCAATTTATTTGTGTCCTCCTTTTCATTGTAAAAAAATTGGTCACCTTATTTAAACCATGGCTTTAGTTGGAAATTTAAAGTTGTCATTTTGGTACAGTGTTAACAATGGAGTATCCATTATTTCAATCTATGGTTGTAAATTAAAATAGAAATTAAAGATCCCGGTTCTATTTAGTAGATTTATAGGCATGTACAAATAGTCTTCGGCTTGCAATCGTAATTTGAGCAAGATGGTTTTAAGTGAGTTTTGCTCCATTTTATGAGCTTTCTTGCCACAGTTGTTAAAAGAATCACTGGAGTTGCTAAGTTAGTATATATTCAAGATGGACAGTATTTAATATTTATTTGCTATGTATATGTAGGGGTGTGGGTCTATACATATGTTGTATATAGTATGTTTTAGGTGTGTGTCATGTACGTTTCACTTTGAGAGCGGGCAACTGAATTTCATTTTTGATGTGTGCCGTTGTGCCCACAGTAAAAAAATGACAATAAAGGTTATCTTATTTTAGTAACCCAGTTGTTAAGTAAATCTGGCTTCCCCATTGACGTTGCCTGTCAGAAGGTTGCGAAAGGGGGTCACATGACCTGGGGACACTGTGCAACCGTCGTAAATAAATACACGCTCGTTGCCAAGTGCTTGAATTTTGATCACTTGACCGTGGGGATGCTGCAACAGTCGTAAATGTGAAAAACGGTCGTAAGTTACTTTTTCCCGTGCCGTTGTAACTTCAAATAGTCGTTAAACGAATGATTGTAAGTCGAGGACTATCGGTAATCAAAGTGTGGTAACTAGATGAGAAGGCAAAACTGGGCTGCTTTTGTTTTTGAATGTGGAGCAGGACACATACCCCGGCCTACTTCTCTGAGTCTGGTGTCCCTTTCTGGTTTTGCTCTGCTTCCTTTAAAGCCCCTTCTGATCCCAGCCTGTGGCCTCTCTTGAGCGTTGAGCCAGGCCTGCTGAATAGCTGAGCAGTTTTGCAATGGAAGTACTCCACCCCGAGTGTCCCTGTGGGCAGGGCAGACTCTGTGACTTCAGCAGCAACTTTGCAAGGGAAGGTTGGGAATACAGCCTCTTCTTGCACAGCCAAACATATGTACATCTGGTCATGTCCTGCACATGCCCTGGAGCCGAGAAATAACTTGGAAGAGCTCCACCTTTTTCCCTTTGCATCTCCTCCTCTGCTTCCCACAATCGGAGGACCTTGTAAAAAAAAAAGTGCCTGAGGAATCATGGGATATAAAGGGATCTTAGAAAGACTGAGTGATCCTTTGGGTTAGCAAGTTAGCTTGGCAAAATCTGAAAATACTAACTTGTTTTTCATTGATGAAGAAAGTAAACCAAAGTATATAAGAATGAGAATGAGAACTCTGCTTCTGGGCCTTTTAAATCGGTCTGATTTGCAGACGTTAGCAGGCACTGCTAGGATTGTACTGTGAAAAGAATAATCACCTGACTTTTGAAGCTAACACTGCTAGATGTCTGGGTAGACACAAAATCTTCCCCCCCCCTCCATACTGCCCAGGTGACCAGTTTGGATATGAATTTTTTTTTTTTTTTTTTGCATTTTCAGGTCTCCAAGAGATTGTCAAGATTTTTTTTAAAAAACGTAAAAGTATATATTGTATTTCTACTGTTAAAATCCCCACCTCCCCAAATCCTGGAAATTGTAGTTTGAAGTGCTGAAAACTTTGTTAAGTGATGGTTAGTCCTCTTCCTTAAGAAGCGCAAATTCCCAAAATTACCTGGCAAAATAAATTTCTTTCTGTTAACTCCCAATTTAGTGCCAGTCACATGCTAGTGGCAACAGAATGGTGCATCAGAGTATTTGCTTCCTAAAACTGTAGAGATGGTCACATAAACAGTATGAACAAAAGGAAAAGCTGCATCCTTTGGCTTTATAGATCATATTGAACATTAACCACCATACCTTGCATTAAACTAGACTTGATTTAAATCTAGTGTCCTGAATCACAATTGGATAGATTTGCATAAGATGGGAAGCCAGAAACTATGGCTTACAAATCAAAATTGTTGAATTTCTACAATGTGCTAAATTAAACGTAAATAGAGCTTATTATGGTTTGGTGCAAGCTCACTATATTAAAGCAAAAACATTCAATGGGGCAATCACAGTCACCAATAAGGATGAATACACTAGTTAGAAAGCTAAAATTCTGCAACAAAATTGTTGTTTGGGTACTGAAAAATGGGGTGGTTTTGGGATGGAACAGCCCTTGCTCTTCTGAAACATGAGCAAAGACTCTACAACAGGGGTCTTCAGACTTGGCCCTTTTATGACTTGTGGACTTCAACTCCCAGAATTCTTCAGCCAGCGTGCCTGGCTGAAGAATTCTGGGAGTTGAAGTCCACAAGTCATAAAAGGGCCAAGTTTGAAGACCCCTCCTCTACGAGTTCATTGCAGGGAGACAGGAATTGTCTATAAAAAGAGTCCAAGCTGAGAATGTTCTAACCAAATTTACTTGCTGGCTGTATGATTATGACATCAAAGGTGTCTTGACCAATGATAGCAAGGCTGTTTTTTCCCCCTTCCTTTTATACTAGCCTCTCTGATGGTGGCAGTGTTTGGGGGCCTTTGTTACATTCAGGGGTTCAGATCCATCGGGAGGGTGGAACTTCTGATCATCCTGGATGAGGAAACCTCTTTACTTCTCCCCATCCGGGGACTGAAGGCAATTGATCAGGGACCCCTTTGGGGCCTAGGATGGGTGGTGTGAGGGGATTCTAGCCCTGAGAGGGGGAAGGAGCTTGAAACTCTCTGCCCCAATCTGATCTTACAACTGCATGTTTTAATTTTATTTAACTTGTAAAGGCTTCCACCTCTAGGAAGCAGAACAGGCGAAATCTTTGTCTCAAGGGTCCCTCCCTCTGATGCAGATCCATTATGGGGTCTTTGTACCAAAGGGAGACAAGACAATTCTTCTTATCTTCCACCTTTTCAGCAAGGCATTCTGCATATATAACTTACAGTTCCTTTATACTCATACTGATTAGAGGTCAGAGTTGCCCATTTATGAAGAACTGAAAGAAAAATTAGACCAAGTGCAATGGGAATTCCACACGGCTCACTGTGTCTCTGTCATCCACAATGGAGCGTTGTCTTGCTAGCTGTCTTTGCCTTGCCTGACCCAACAGCCATTTAACAAGCTCTCTCTTCTTTGCCATGCAGCCTTATGTCTCAGTGGCCCAGCAGATGGCACCCCCAAGCCCCAGTGGCAGCTGCAACAACAATAGTAGCAGCAGCAGCAGCAGTGGGCCAGGTGGTGGCGGAGGTGGCGGGGACCAGCTGAGCAAAACAAACTTGTATATCCGGGGCCTGCATCCTGGTACCACCGATCAGGATCTTGTCAAGCTCTGCCAACCGTAAGTTACCATCATCCAAGAAACATAGGGTGGGAAGTAAATCCAGGTGGCCAAATGTTGTGTACTTACTATTTAGACCTTGGTCTGTAGTATTCTGTTTTCAGTAGGAATTGAACTTAGCGGTCTTTTCCAGTACCGAATGCTATCCACACTTCCTGAATTCAGCAAAAAAAACCCCTATACTGGCATGTAATGTGTGTCCCCATTGCTAATCCCCATCCTGCCTGTACAACTGCTCTTTCAAGCCATTGCAGTCCCTGACTTCCTCCAGGGGACAAGTCCTATCAATCCTCTTGAAGAGGCCCTCGGATAGAGCTGGGGGGGGGGGGGGAAACAGAAAATAGTTCTGTAACACTAGTAGTACAGGTAGGGATGAATGAAGTCTCATTACGAGGGCAACATGAAGGCAGTCGTATGAAACATAGCATGTACTAAAATGTTTGTATATGTTTGGAGGCAAATGGCATGGTTGTGCATTATTGGATCAGGGTTGGCTCAGGCTCTTGGAGAGGATACAGTTCCTTCTGGCAGTGTTTCTCAACCTTGATAATTTTAAGGCATGTGGACTTCAACTCCCAGAATTCCACAGCCAGCACTGCTGGCTGTGGAATTCTGGGAGTTGAAGTCCACATGCCTTAAAATTGTCAAGGTTGAGAAACACTGGGCTAGTAAATAGATGGGCTGTGGTGGCGCAGTGGTTAGAATGGAGTACTGCAGGCTACTTCTGCTGACTGCTGGCTGCCTGCAGTTTGGCAGTTCGATTCTCACCGGCTCAAGGTTGACTCAGCCTTCCGTCCTTCCAAGGTTGGTAAAATGAGGACCCAGATTGTTGGGGGCTGATTCTGTTTAAACTGCTTAGAGAGGGCTGTAAAGCACTGTGAAGCAGTATATAAGTCTAGGTGCTATTGCTATTGCTCACGTGATGTGGCAACAAGCCAAATGTATGATTTACCAAGAAATATGGGCAGTAAGCCACTTCTGCATCATGTGCCTATGTTGATTATTCATATTGATTATTCATGTTGATGAAGCAGAAAGAGACTTAGCCATATCACCAAAATCAAAGGAGAAGTTTAAGCGTTCCACAAATCTGGAACTCTCAGAGACTCAATGATCACCCAGTTATTGTCAAGTGTGGATCAGGTTTGCCTACAGATTTAGGGGCTTTTTTCTGAAAAGAGACAGGAATCAGGAATGTTCATTCCTTTGCCCTATTCTCCTATCTCCTCACTGTGGTTCTTCACCCATTTTCCTGTCTTTTCCCCATTCCGCAACTTAAACTGGAGCCAGACTTGAAAGTGTATGGATGACAGTTTGGCTTTCTTCTACCTGGCCCCTTTAGGATATTCTGGGTGAGAAGTAAAAAAAAGAAAGAATAAAAGAATAAACGTAAGCTATCCTAGCTCTTTCCAGCACTTTGGTGAAGGACCATGTCCTTCTTTGTAAGGATGGGAAGCTGGCAGCATCAGATGCTACTGCTGTGGCTCACCTGCTTCTTGAATCCTCATGGAAACTTGTAATTCAGTGTCCTTGTTTTAAGGATATCAGAAGCCTAAGACCTTAGTGCTATCTGCTGTATGGAACTCCCACATCTTCCAGAAGCTCAGTGCAATACTGGAGCCTTGACTAATAATCAGTGTTGCCTTGGTATCCCCTAATTTGCCAAGTTATCTAAAAAGTGATGGGAAGGCGTCTGATTCCCAGCTAAAGAGTTCTGAAAGTGACTTCTGGGGTAGGGGAGAATTGAAGGGGACTAAGTAGAGTGCAGTCACGTACACATTGCCTGCAGCAACCTATTGACGTTGTGAAGTCTGTGGCTCTCTAATTGCCTGCCAGGGTTTGCTCTACTCTTCCGTCTCCTAGCCTTGCCCGAAGGAGACTGAGCAAAGCTATAGTACTTGAAGCCAGGAGGCCAGGAGGGGTGGGTGGGCAGGGGGCTGTTCCTCGTTTACCTCAGCTCACCCCAGTCTGGAATGCTGGATCTGGCCCCAAAGCCACACTTGACAAACACGCCTGCTTCGTACCAGGAATGTGTGAGAGAAGGGATCATGGATGAGAGCTGCAACCAGCGGTGGAGAGTTTGGGGAGGACCAAAGGGAAGGGAAGGAAACAAGTCCAGAGACTAATACTGGGCAGGAGCTGGGAATTCTGGGCGGCGTTCCTGGTTCTGCCCCTATCTTGCAACATTTATGTGCAGTGCCCTCCTCCTCCTGTGCCTTAATTCCCACATCTGCAAAGCAGTAGACCCCCTCCTTCCTCCTCCCCCCCCAATTAGAGGTCTGACCACAACCACAGCATTCAGCATGATTCATCTCACTCTGAAACCCTGCAGCTGTACTCCCCTGAGTCCTGGCTGGGAGGCGCCAAGACTCGGCTGTTCTTGGCGCCGGTCGGATTTCCTGGGCTTGTCCTTCCCTGGGCAGGAAATCCTGCTCAGGGTGAACAGGAAGCATTGCGGGTGGGGTCAGAGGGCAGCTGGGATGGACTCTGTAGGGCTCAGCACTTGGGGGAGGGGAAGAGAGCCAGAGTTCGCTGGCTATTTTTAAAGGGAAACTAATTCAGGGCTTGCAGTGTGTGTGTGTGTGTGTGTGTGTGTGTGTGTGTGTGTGTGTGAGAGAGAGAGAGAGAGAGAGAGAGAGAGAGAGAGAGAGGGAGGATGGAGGAATTTAAGGGTGTCCTAGGAAGAGTGGCCCAAAGAATTGCATGCATTACTGTGACTTCCTTTGCAAGATAGTGATAAGGAAGCTAATCAAGTGGTTTACAAGAAAAGGGCTATTAGGGCCACTCTTAGCAAATGATTACACCACCAAGGCTGTTTCTAATTGTTCCAGTACTATTCAGAGGATGCTGGAATAACCATTACCTCTTTCTTCACTTCTGTGGGAAACTGTGGCAGGAGCATATCCTAGTCACCATCTTTTCTGGCCCTGTCTTGGTGGTGCTGCTTTCTTTTCCTCCAGGAGCCGTACCTGAAGCAGTTCAAAATTGTCCTTAGCTGTTCCAGAGTTAAAACCTTACTTATCTCTTTAAGCATTCGGTAAGTTCCCATGGTTTTGACACGGGAGGTGTCTGGTACCTTTCAGCAGCTATTTGGCTAGTGTTGCAGCCAGGCCACCCCTAAAGGGCGAGATTGGCCAGGGACCTATGGCACATCCACTTTCCCCTGAGCCCTGGGCGTTCTCTTTGAAAGCCTTTCCGCTTAAGCAGCAGGAGAGCTCTCATCCTGTACCAGCCCTCCGATCCCATGCTTGGTGATCTGCATCCGCTTAAATGGTAGAGGTGGGGTAGGCTTCACAGTGAAGCAGGAGAGACAGCCAGCCCTCTCTCTGCTGCTTTCCGGTGTAATTTTCCCCTTGAACTATTCTTCAGGCCACTTTTGAACACAGTTTTAGTGCCCTGCTAGAATAGCTCTGAACCCCTATTTGAAATGAGCTTGAGCCAGTTGATACTTGGGCTCCCTTTGACGACACCTGTACAAAATGTGCGCGCAAAACCAAAGCAAGTTTTGACAGGTAGTGCAGCTCACTGATTTAGCCCTCCATCAAAAAAGTTGCCTCTGGCTCATATCTCACGCACATTAACCTCACCCACATTAAGGAAAGCGTTTTCCCACCACTTTGTGATGCCCTGCTGTTTGTGTGTGTCCTGCTTGCTTATTAATAAGAACAGCACCATTTGTCAGTATCGTATCTGTGGCAGGATAGAGATCATCATTGGGGGCAGCTTATGTTATGCTGGTAGAGTTTTCTGCTAGCTCAAGGACTGGTGGGAACCAGCCAAGGGAATAGCCATGGCTATTTTAATATTCCCAGCTCTCACCTTTCGAGGTTTTAATGTAGGCTCCTGTAAGGACAACATTCAGGCTTTTATATGTGTCTGTGGAAGTTCTACCACCCAGACTCAGCGTTCTGTACTTCTGAGACTGTATTGTGCAAGACTGGAATTTCAGATCTGGTGAGGAATTGCACATCTTCCAGAGTTCGACATTTTATTTGCAAGTTATAATTAGGAGCGTGCAGTTTCTTTTTCTTTTTTTTCTTTTTCTTTTAAAGCTGAACCTCAGATATCACAAAGGTCATTCTTCTGTGCACAGTATAAACTGTTGGATGCACCAATGTTGACTGTTCTCTAGTGCAGTGATGGATAACCTCAGCGAACGCAGTTTCTGAAAGGGTTTCTTTAGGCTCTCAAGCCCATGTCTGACCATGCTACTAAATACTGACTGCAGGATTATTAATTTGAGCAACACGATTTCCCACCATTTGGAGGCACTCAAGGATGGGAATAATAATATAAATAGGAAAAACACAAAATTCCCACTCAAAAATGGAAGTTTAGCTCCATCCTGGTTCGTATCGCTGAGCTCTCAGTAGTCCTCACTCCCCAAAAGTCTTTGAATACGGCTTACATCACAAAACTCGCCTAGCCTTGTGATACAGGTAGCCTTCAATTTTGCAATCCCAATTGGGATCATAATCTCATTGCTAAGCAAAGGGGTTGTTAAGTGAGTCGCATCTGAGGTTACGACTTTTTTTGGCCCACAGTTGTTAAGCAAATCACTGCAGTTGTTAAACGAGTTATGTGGTCATTAAGCAAATCTGGCTCTCCCCCCCACTGACTTTGCTTGTTGGAAGCCGGCTAGGAAGGAGTGAGTGACAATCAGGTGACCCTCCCCCCCAAGACGCTGCAATTGTTGTAATTCCATGCCCGTTGCCAAGCACCCAAACTTTGATTGCGTGACTGTGGTGATGTTGTGACAGTTGTTAGCGTGAGGACTGGTCATAAGTGCCTTATAAGTGTCGAACAGCCACTAAATGAACAGGTGTAAGTTGAGGACTACCTGTAATGATTCACGTGACATCCAGAGTTACTTTGCCATTCATTTGCTGTCAGAACTCAGCTGTGGTGCCTTTGAAATGGGAAGAGTCTGCAGTTAATCTAGGGATGCCTCTTTGACACTGAGTTATGTTGCTCCATGTCTGCAAACCGACTGGGCTCTTGACCAACCACTGGTCAAGATGAGCCACCTCCTATCACCCCCCTGATACATGCCAGCTATATGTTCTGATAGTTTAAAATGTCATGGCTGTCCCTTTGGAGACCCAGACCCTTTTTTGCCCCCCCAAAATAAAATAAGTAGCAACCGGCTTATTGTCAGGTTCTGTCCAAATAAAGGCACCTTATGAAGAGTTTCACGGTGGTAAATGAGAGCTGTGCTAGATGATCAGTTGTCTTTTTTGTCGTTGCTTCGTTCACCTTCCTGGCTAAGGGTTCCTTCACAGAGATGGGACATCACAGCTTACAAATATGTGACAGAGTTGTCCAGGGGATTTACACAAGTCTGAGTAAAGTTTTCTAGACACTTTCAGCTTCTTGACTGTTAAGGTGAAGAATTTACAATTCTTCTGTAGGATTTGGGTGGGAAACCAAGGGCCCAATACAGCCTGCGAAACATTCTTTTCTCACCGGTAGTGGACCCTGCTTGTTCTGCAATTAATTGAAGGGCAGCTCTTAATTCCTGAGTAGAGAAAAACTTTATTTTTCAGTCTTCTCGGGTAGAGGGTGGGGGAGCAGAGAAGAGTCCATGAAGGAGAAGCATTTCCGGGGATGATAGTTAGGACTATTATAATCCATTTCCCAAACTTGCTTTAACAGCTGTGCTTATTCCATCCCTTATCTTGACACTTTTCTGTACTTTTATAGATATGGCAAAATTGTCTCCACCAAGGCCATCCTGGATAAAACAACTAATAAATGCAAAGGTGAGCTCAGCCTGGGTTTTCCTCCCGTGTGGAGTAATATTGTGGTATCCACAGGATCTGAATCGGAGTCTGGATAACAAGTGGGGGTTTTGCTTGGGGTTTCTCAAAGGGGGAAGCGCAGAGCTGTCCTGTTTTGCTACATCCTTATCGCCCACAGACTCTTGCAGCGGTCCAGAGAATTTAATCTCTCTTTCAAAAGAGGGTTTCTTCCATCCACAGCTTTGAGGCTGGCGAAGTTTGAAACCTAAATGTAAGGCTGGGGCACAAGGCAGGTTCAGAATCTAGAGCCAAACTTCCTGAGGAAGATGGGCTTGGTCTGAAGGTGGGGATGGTTTATTGGCATGAGGGTGATGGTTGTGTGGGGGAGGAGCTGCATTCCTGAAATGCCAGACATTGCTGTGGAGAAAAGAAAGATGGAGCATCCACTCAGAGTACAAGCTGGAGGAGGAGGAGGAGGAGGAGAGGGGAAGAGGAAGAAGAGAAGGGGGATCCTGCAGTCTGTATGGCTTAACAGGGAGACAGATCCTCCCTCTCTTGCCTTCCTGCCAATGTTTGCGAACCCCGCCAGATAACATTAGTCTTGCCCCTCAGAATGATTGCGGGTTGTGGTGTGCTAGAGGGTGTGGTGCAGCTGAGAATGTAAAGGAGGTGAGGTGAGGCAGGAGGGCTTTGCTCCCGCTGCAAAGGTAAGTCTCTTTGCTGCTCACCCAGAAGCAGAGGGCTGGAGGAAGGATCCTCTATACAGGTAGTCCTCAACGTACGGCCACAATTGAGCCCAGCATTTATGTTGCTAAGTGAAATATGTCTCAAGTGAGTTTGGCCCCATTTTACAATCTCTCTTAAACCACGGTTGTTCAGTGAATCGCCGCAGTTGTTAAGTTAGTAACAGTGGGGAATCTGGCTTCCCCACTGACTCTGCGTAAATATGAATCCCTGGCGAAGCATCTGAATTTCAATCATGTGACCAGGGGGATGCTGCAGTGGTCATAAGTGTGAAAAACGGTCTTCAGTGACGTCGTAACTTTGAACGGTCGCTAAATGAACTGCTGTGAGTCGAGGACTACCTGTCCAAGCTAGAGATGGAATCTCCAAGGTTAACAAGATTAATCTTTCCTCTCCTTGAACCTTCAGGTTATGGCTTTGTGGATTTTGACAGCCCCACAGCAGCTCAGAAGGCCGTGACTGCACTAAAGGCCAGCGGGGTCCAAGCCCAGATGGCCAAGGTAAGCCTTGAGCTGCAGGCCTACATGGCAGAGCCGTCCTCCTCCCTTCAACAAATGAGAATGGGAATCTTCCTGAGTAAGACAACCACGGTTAAATTTCTAGTGCAGGGGTAGGCAACCTTGGCTCTTTTATGACTCGTGGACTTCAACTCCCAGAATTCCTGAGCCAGCATAGCTCAGCTTGGAAACCTCTCCCTTTCCCCTCAGCATGGCTGGCTCAGGAATTCTGGGAGTTGAAGTCCACGAGTCATAAAAGAGCCAAGGTTGCCTACCCCTGTTCTAGTTTAACCTTGTTCCTTGTGATTTAGCCCTGTTGAAGCGAGATCTTTCTTATATCCTGCCATGATGGAGAGGCTCTTCTTCAGAGTGTGTTTTCCAGCATTACTGTGTTGCCCAGGGTTTCAAGGGTACCACTGATGCTTCATGCCATGTGCTTGGAGTGGGTGGTGCTGGGTACAGTCATGACAAGTAGGTGTGGTGGTAAATTTTGCAGGAACCTGGGTTTCCTATGCAAGCCATCGTTCAGACAAGTAGACAAGAGCAGCACCCAGAGCTAATGTATCTTAGTGTTATATGTGAATCAGACCCCAGCAGTTACATGAGACTCTACCATAGCAGACTGAATTATGTATCCATTAAGTTCAATATCCTGGCCTTAGAATCCCAGAATAATTCCAGTATTACTCAGTCTCACTTGGTCAGGCGATGATTCCTTTCCCAAGTTCTCTGGGAAAAGAACACTCTCTTTTTTCCCCAAAACATCTTTAAAGCTAGAGATGTTAATGATTGAAGATAAACTGTTCAGTTCTATGATGTATTAATTCCTCTCCAAACATACACCTTGTTTCTTGCTGATCACTTTAATTCCACTTTCCCCAAGCTGGTGCTCTCCAGATATAGTGGGAAATGTTCTGCAAATTACGATGCCACCATTTGGTTGGGGCTGATTGCTTGAACCAGGTGGCAACGTGGATACTGACTTAAGCTGCAGATCCTCTTTCTCCTGAGAGAGACAGAGAGAGAGAGAGAGACAGAGAGAGAGACACACACAGAGAGAGAGACAGAAACAGACAGAAAGAGACAGAGAGACAGAGGCAAAGACAGAGAGAAAGACAGAGACAGAGACAGAGACACAGAGACACACAGAGAGAGAGAGACAGAGAGAGACAGAGAGAGCCTTCTCTAGCAAGGGGTCCTCCCCCCCTCCCGCTGCTGGTCCACGAAGCCAGAAAAGTTGAGTACCACTGTTCTGTAGGCCAGTATCAGCTACTACTCAAAGAAGCAGAGAGCATCATTGTGGTTCCATGTAAGAAATAAGTAATGCTCTCTTAGCCCAAGAATATCTACACATTCAATGGGAGGCAGATGTTGTACTCTGGTACTCCAGTAGATTTGGATTTACTCAGAGTAAATTACACTCTAATCAGGGGCTCTGGATTGGGGATTGAGGATCCCTGCTAGAGAAGGCTTTCTCTTTCTCATTTTCTCTCTCTCTCTCTCTCTCTCTCCCAATATATCCGCTACATTTTCATAAATTAAAGCCATGGCCAGTGGTGGGATTCCCTTGAAATGTCTTTGAAATCTGAATCTATCTATTTAGAAAGAACACACAGCGTTCACACATGCACGTAGGGCACGTATGTCATTCCCAGTGTGCAGCTCTTGCAGTTAGCACACTTGTATATGTGCTATAGCCAACAGTACTATAGAGGCCATGTTTGCTGCCTCACTTGCTCTCCTGGATGCTGGATATTTCCAATGCGTCAGCTTCTCTTCATTCTACTTCACAACAGTGAGTCTCACTGGTGGGGTTGCCTAGAGCAGAAGCTGGGCTCTCTACCGAGATAATATGTTGAGTTCTCTTCATAAATGGAACGGCCTCAGTGTGCCTAGAGAAAGGGAGGCAGCAAGCATCTCAACAGAGGCAGGTGACACGTTCAGGAAGGGAAGGGAAAGGAAAGTCCAAAGGAATGCGTCCTCGGGATGGGATGGACTATTGCTAGGCAACAGCCTGACTTCTTGTTTCCATAGCAACAGGAGCAGGATCCTACCAACCTCTACCTGTCAAACTTGCCTTTGGGCATGGATGAGGCTGAATTGGAGTCGATGCTGAAGCCATTCGGACAAGTCATCTCTACACGTATCCTACGTGATGCCAGCGGCACCAGCCGAGGAGTTGGCTTTGCCAGGTCAGGCAGGATGGCTGGGACAGGGTTGGGGATCCTTTGGTTTAATGATACACTTCTTCAGTTATATACAGTAGTGCTAGCTTAAAAAGACAAACAGACCTAGCCTATGTTCACTCAGGGAGCCCTCAGAAATGTGGTCCATTCACATCCCGTAGGTGAGCAAGCACCTTGAACCATTCCTTTGACCAAGGATGGTCTTCTGTCGGAATACCTGCACAGAGATTTGCTTGGCTAAATATTCCCTTCTGCACGGAGCATGTGCAAATATGCTGAGCATTTGCAAATATTTCCCTCTTGGTTCAAGGTGGTGATCGGCATTTGCCTTTTTTAAACTCTTCCATGTCCTATTCCTACGTTGTAGGGTTGGGATAGCTATAGCTACACTCTTCTGAGTTGGTCCACTGGGAACTAGATTATGGACATTTGGATGTTCTATGGAAGCTTTCTACATGCCTCTGAAACCATATTATTTTAGCTGACTGTGTGTGTCTTTCAGTTTCTTTTTCCCTAAATATGCCATCACCAAATGTTCCTAAAAGATTAAGATAGGCTGGGGCAAAAGAGGGTTGAGCACTGACACTCAAAATGATTCCTTTCCAGGTTTGGCAGGCGGAAAAAGTTGAACTTCAGTGGCACTTTGTCTGTCCTAAAGCCTTATAACAAACATGTGGTTAGCTTGTGGGCCAAAAAAATGTCCGAGATGTTTTGATGCGGAGTATAAAGCCCTAGGTTACCTCCTTCTCTTTTCCTATGGCACTCAGCTGCTGTTCAGTCTTCAGTTTAGCCTTAGGGAGAAGCAAGATATTTAGCCAATTGCTTGAGAAGGGACGGGAAGAAAACTGGTAGCAGAAAACTGGTGATTTAGAAAATGGCTTGATGTGGAACAGGAATGCTGAAAGACAGAAGCACCATTGATCCTAGAATTTCCCCTATTTACAATGACGTTTAGCATTGTTGCTAAGAAAGAGGAAAATACATCTGTGTGCATTTGGTTCCTAACCCAAGATCCCTGCTAAAGATTTGTCTAACTGTTGAATTACTTTTAGGCATAGAAGGGTACCTCCTTTGCTGTTCAGACCTCCACCTGGGTGGGCAGTTTTGTTCTGTATTCTCCCTTTCCTGTGCCAGCTTGGGCATTCTTTTCTATCCTACACTGCCCTCTACTGCCAAATGTTCACATTGCAACAGACAGCTCCTGGCTCCTCCATATTTATTTTCCTTCATACCTGAAAAAGTAAACTTGGTCGAATTGGCAATGGTTGGTTAATTATATATCCCTGTTTCCTATAGCTGGTTATAATGGATGAGGTTGGTCTTCCTAAAGAGAGGAGAGAACTGAAACACTGATTTCCCTCTCTGTCAAAACTGATTTGCTACCCCCCGCTTTCTTTCAAAGTCTCCAGCTCTAAAATATTTTCCCTGAGTCCTAAGATGTAGCATTTCAAAGCCAAAAGGGATAACAAGCCAATGAGATGTTTAATCATCATAGCAGAGCCATGTGAAAACACAGGCCAGCATCAGGAAAGCAAAGGCTCAGAATGAACAAGGACTTGCAACAAAAGTCAAAGGTATTAAAAGTCTCTTTCAACATATAAATGACAAGAAAAAAAAAATCAAGAAAACAGTCAGTCCACTAAAGAGAGAAGATGGAAAGGAAGTAACAGGCAGTAGAGAAAAAGCAGAGCTGCTTAACTTATTCTTTGCATCAGTCTTCACGCAAAAAGAAACTATAGCCCAACCTACTAAAAACATAACTGTAAAAGACAGACTAGAAATAAAAATTAAAATAAGCAAGAAAATGGTAAGAGAACACCTGTCTGAGCTTGATGAATGTAAATCACCGGGACCTGACAGATTACATCCCATAGTTCTAAAGGAGCTGGCAGACTCATCTCAGAACCACGGTACCATATCTTTCAAAAATCTAGAAGCACCAGGGAACTACCAGAGGACTGGAAAAGAGCTGATGTGGTTCCTATATTCAAAAAGGGGAAAAAAACAGACTCAGAAACTACAGACCAATCAGCCTAACATCAAAAAACAGATCTGTGAACATCTAGAAACAAATCAAGTAAAAAACTAGAAGTCAGCACAGGTTTGTTAAAAACAGATCATGCGAAACCTATCCTATTTCGTTATTTGACAAAGCGACTAAATTAGTAGACCAGTGAAATACTGTGGACATACTATACTTAGACTTCAGCTAAACATTCAACAAAGTAGACCACAACCTACTTCTTGGTAAGCTAGAAAAAAAGTGGATAGATAGCATCACCACCAAGTGGATTTATAACTGGCTGACAAACCGTGCTCAATGAGTAGTCCTTAATGGTACATTGTCTACATGAAGGGAAATAAGCAGTGGGGTACCACAAGGTTTCGTCTTAGGCCCAGTATTCTTCAATATCTTCATAAACGACTTAGATGAGGGAATAGAAGGGGAAACTCATCAAATTTGCAGATGATACAAAGCTGGCAGGAAAAGCCAACACCCCAGAAGACAAACTCAGGTGGATCTTGACAGACCTGACAAGACCTGATACTGGGCCCTATCTAACAAAATGAAATTCAATGTAGGGAAAAGTAAAGTCTTACACTTAGGCGAGAGAAACCAGAAGTACACATATAGATTGGGTGAAACCTGGCTTAATAGCAGTAATTGTGAGAGGGATCTTGGAATCTTATTGGACAATCAATTAAATGTGAGCCAACAGTGTGCGGCGATAGCCAAAAAACCAATGCAATCCTAAGTTGCGTTAACAGAGGGATTCAATCAAGATCACATGAGATATTAATATCACTCTATAAAGCCTTAATAAGATCACACCTAGAATGCTGCATCCAGTTTTGGTCACCATACTGTAAAAAAGATGTTGAGACTCTAGAAAAAGTGCAGAGAAGAGCAAGAATGATGATTAGTCGACTGGAGGCTAAAACATATGAAGAACAGTTACAGGAACTGGGCACGGCTAGTCTAGTGAAGAGAAGGACCAGAGGTAATATGATAGCAGTCTTCCAATATCTGAGGGGCTGTCACAGAGAGAAGAGGGGGGGGGGGTCAACCTATTTTCCAAAGCACCTGAAGGCCAGACAAGGAACAATGGATGGAAACTGATCAAGGAGAGATTCAACCTAGAAATAAGGAGAAATTTTCTGACAGTGAGGACAATCAACCAATGGAGCAGTTTGCCTTCAGATGTTGTGGGTGCTTCATCACTGAAAGCTTTCAAGAAGAGACTGGACAGCCATCTGTCAGAAATGGTATAGGGTCTCCTGGCAGGGGGTTGGACTAGATGACCTATAAGGTCCCTTCCAACTCTGTTATTCTATTCTATTTTGAAAGCTCCTTGCAATATTGGAGCTATTTGGAGTCATAAATTCATATCCAACTAGAGATTCAAAACCAGTGGATTGGTTTGCATAGTCCAGGTTAATTCTGATGTCAGATTTTGCATTCTTGGATTCATTTTTAGTAATCTCCCCAAAGAAATGTTGCCTAGGAACGGGCTATCTCATAAATTTTCCAGATTTGATCTGTTAGCTTTGATGAATCTTGATTAGGAGATTCTAGGAGAATCACGGGCTATTAATACCTATCTAATTTTTCCAAATACTGATGCTCATCACAAGTCTCTGAGCTTAACAGAAAGTACATGTTCTCCCTCAAGAACTCACCCCAATGCCCCTGTCCCTTCCTCTCTGCAAAGTCCTCTAAATCAGTGTTTCTCAACCTTGGCAAGTTTAAGATGCGTAGATTTCAACTCCCAGATTTCCCCAACCAGCGTGTTGGCTGGGGAATTCTGGGAGTTGAAGTCCACACATCTTAAAGTTGCTGAGATTGGCAAACGCTGTTTTAAATGGAAGCAGCGCCATTTAAAGGACTGTTTCTCAATCTGGACAACCTGAAGATGAGTGTTGACTTAAACTGGAGTTGACACGAAGCTGTTTTTCGTTCAGATCGTCAGTTCAGCCAAGTATAAACCAATGAATTTCTCCATAGGAATTTTGAGTCGGTAACTCTCACATCTACTATATTTTGAGCTGCAGGTCCTATCAATTAGGAGCAGGTTGCCTAGATGTCTTGCTGAGATTGTCCACATCCCTTCTCATGGCTGTGTTGCTCATGTCTGAGAGACTTGGAATTCCACAGCACTGGGTTAACAGAGCACATTCTTCTCCCTACTTATTCCTGCATAGAAACATTTGGCATTTTCTCCATCCCAGCTTCATGGACACTTTCTTTTCATTGCTTCTCCAGGATGGAGTCTACAGAAAAGTGTGAAGCCATCATCACCCACTTCAATGGCAAATATATCAAGACACCTCCTGGGGTCCCAGGTGAGAGAGTACTATAAGAGGGAGGGTGAATTGGTTCCTTTCCAGAGGAGAAAAAGTTTAAGGTAGTAGACACAGCAACAGCAGCAAGACTAGTAGTGTCTTTCTTGCATCTGTAAAAGGGCACCATACAAAATAATAAAACAATATTGAAACATTAGTACAGTAACTTCCTATACTACAATTAAGGTCACAACTACTATATAAAGCAGTGGTTCTCAACCTGTGGGTCGGGACCCCATTTGGGGTCGAACGACCATTTCACGGGGGTCGCCAAACAACGCAGTCCGCCATTTTTTTCCCCCTTTTCCTTAGCTGTGCTACTCCCTTTTATTCTATTGGCTTTTGAAAGCCAATAGAATAGACTCTCTTGAATAGAGTCTAATTCTATTGGCTTTCAAAAGCCAATAGGAATTGTCCAGGCTGTCTCTGCCCTGCTGAGCCCGCCAAAAGTCCCATTCTGCAAACGGTGCTGCACCAGTTGAGTAGTCCTCGATTTATGACCGGTTGAGTAGTCCTCAACTTACGACCGGTTGGGGGTCGCCGCATTAAAAAGGTTGAGAACCACTGATATAAAGACTCGAGTTAGCCAGCAATTAAAGTTGGTACTTTTCATAAATTCTAATCACTGATAGAAGGAAGAAAAGATTCAATCAGGGAAGGATCGGAATAGCACACACTGTGCTGTTCTAGATCCAGATCATCAGATAAGGAAAAATGTTAGGTGACCTGCTAAGAGACTGCTGCAATGATCCAGCTAAGGAAAGATCAGGGCATGAAGCCATTGCTTTGCTGTTTCTGTGATGAGGAACTGATAAAGGCAATGAATATTCTTTAAATAAAATCTCCAAGTTTTTTTTTATTATTATTATTACCTGTTCACAACAATGTGAAGTCAAAGCTGCCATTTTTAAAACTGTGTTAGCCTTCATACACACAGAGATCTTCCCAAGAACCTAAAAAGTCATACTGTTATCAGTGTATAGTATATGTGTGGATCCAAGCAGTGGTCTTTTTCAAATGACAGGTGGGAATTTTGTGTTAAGTGCAGATTTTTTAAGTTCTGTCCCAGATTTTTTGGGTTTGGTACCCAGTATGCCAATAACCACTGGGATGCCACCGGGCCTCTTTATGCCACATTCATTCAGTTTTGATGATTAGTTCTTGATACTTTGTGACATTCTCCAATTCTTTATCTTCTATCTACTATCCCTTGGTATTGTCACATCAGTTATCCACATTTTCTTTTCAACCACAGTTAAATCGTTGTCAGTTTGTGTCCAGAAATCTCACAATATTTTAACCTACTCATTTTCAACTACTTTTTCAGCTCTGTGTTTCCCCCAATTTTTCATGGTCATTTTTACAGATATTCTAGCGAATTGTTTTTTTGTTGTTGCTTTAAGTTTTTATCCAGCCTTTTAAAAAATTTCGTCAATTCAAGGGGGTGAACATATGTTCAGCTCCTATTTTTTTTGTCCAGAACAAAATTATCACTGAAGGTTTTTTTTTTTAATGAAAATGGACCATTGAGTTGGACTTGCTGGTGGCAACTGGCTACCCAAAACCAGAAACAGAGAGAGAAGGGTTGAGACACAATAGTCTTCCCATTTAGTTTGAGTTGGAGGGAACCCATCCAGCCCAATATCAACATCCATCCAGGCATTTGGAAAGATACCCCCCCTGGCTGCCTCACTCAAAAGTACACCTGTGTGTTGTCTATGAAAAAGCTAGGATACTGTAACGTTCCACATCACAGAAAAAATGTTCTGAGATAAGTAGGAGTAAAACCATTGAAATACAGTGTGAGCAGTTCCAAGGTAACTTCAGAAGAGGGCAGTGTGGCTGAATGGTCAGGATTTCAAGTGCAGCAGAAAGAAGTTATAGCCCTGAAACTGGAGCTACGTGGTTCTCCATTTATAATGTGTAAAAATGTGTTGCTGTGGGTAACCTGACTGAAACAGGTCAATGAGATGGCTGACGGTGAGACAGGGAAGGAACTGAGAGCTACTGCTAATTTTAGCAGCCCCATTTGACCAGAACAACCCTTCTGATCCAATTCCCTCCTTCCTTTATTTACTACATGGCCTTTCCCCCTGCCTCTACTCATTCGGCTGGTAAAAAGGAAGGAGGGAATTGGATCAGAAGGGTTGTTCTGGTCAAATGGGGCTGCTAAAATTATTTTGGCCAGAGGCCCCCAACCTTTGGGGCACCAGGGACCAGTTCCGTGGGGAGAGGTTTTCCGTGGACCGGAGGGGGCGTGGTTTTGTGTGCTACCCCATCCCATGGATGGGGCTTTATTTGTGCAGACCGATTGCTGGCATGCTGCGGCCCGGTACCGGTCCATGGACCGGGGGGTTGGGGACTCCTGATTCTGCCTCTTCCTGTGAAGTATGAATTAAGTCATCTAAATCTGACCCAGAGCTAAAATTGTGGCCTGAAGAGGAGGGGTAAAACACTTCAAGCAGGAAGAGACACGACTGGAGTAAGCAGATAAACAAGTTAGAATAGCAGGACGCTCTTAAGAGGCATGTGTGGCGAAAGGTTTGGAGTCATTTCCTATGTACAGCAGAGTTAAGGAATCATATTTTTCCCATGGAGTAAATTTCACAGCGTGGTTCTTGTGGAATAGACTTCACTCCAACAAAGGTATTTATAAGAGGGGCATTTTTATTTCCTTATTTGTGTCCAGCTCATCACATCTCAAATAAGTGGGGGCGCTACCAAAAGAATTAAGGGTTTCTTGCCATTTCCAGGCTATGATCAATTAATCATGTCTGATAAATACAATATTGCACTGTCTTCCATTCCTTTCCCTTAGCTGCCTTCTCTAGGTTGCTCCTTGGTGGGGGTGAGGCTGTTATTATTGCATTTGTGTCCCCAATTTTGTCTGAACACTCCAGGAGCTTAGATAGAGACTTGACCTGAATTTAATTCCCACAACAATAAAGATGGATTATGTTGAAAGAAGATGACCGTCCCCAAATCATCTAAACCAGGGGTAGGCAACCTTGGCTCTTTTATGACTCGTGGACTTCAACTCCCAGAATTCCCGAGCCAGCATGGCTCAGCTTGGAAACATACCAAGTCCACGATACTCATCCAGTGCTGCAATGGCTACAGCTGCAGGCTCTCCAGTGCAGGCTGCGATAAAACTAGGCTGCATAACAAAACTGAGCTTGAGGAGAGGGAACACAACCACTCCACTCAGAGGAAGTATATATGATTGGGGCATAAAAAAGCATGTCTGTCCAACTATTTTTTTTTGCCTTCTTTTTGACAAGCTATTTTAATAATCTGCTTTTCCAAAGTGCCCATATCTTGTGCCCTTCCCCCCCTCCCCCAATAATTCACAGATTAGCAGTTCCTTGGTTTTGGTGCATGTATCAGCTGGCCCTTCTGAGTTGTTGGCCAAGGGCCCAGTGGAGGGAAGTAGGAGTATCCTCTTGTACGTAAGTGCTGCTCGTGTGGTAGTAATTCAGAATGCTATGTAGCTCTGTACACTCTCCCAGTTGTGGGAGAAGAGAGTAGTTGCTTGGCAACAAAAAGGAAGGTTAACCACAAGAGCTCAAGGAAAACAGTAGCATGACACTGAAGTCTGCGAGTCTTTAAATAGAAACCTGCCTGGGCCACACACAGTATGGATGGAGGCTGTTGCATTCCCGACAAAATGCTAATATGCCTAGCGCTAATGTGAAAATAAAAGTCTGCTGATGGTCTCACAAAAGTCACTGAATTGATGTTAATTAGCTCTTCTGGACACGGCTGGCTCTTGAACAACGGCAGAAGGTTTCATTCTCTGTTCTAGCCGTGAAGGGTGAAAAAAGAGAAAGAGGAGGATATCCTCTGTGGTTCAGAGGTAGGATGAAGTCAAGGAGAAGAAGAAAGGGTGAGCAGCACTGTGTCCAATGTGATCAGCCACGGTTGTCCATTTTGGATCTTCAGGTTGATGTAACAGTTACTGCTACAAAGCAAAATAGCCTCCAGTTAATGAGTGCACCAAAAATGGAACAGTGTGTCGAGTGGAATTCAGTGTATCAAGTCAGCTGTCAAGAGAAGGTTTAGGGCAGGGGTGTCAAACTCAATTTCATTGAGGGCCACATCAGCATTGTGGTTGCCCTCGGGGCCGGGTGGGTGTGGCCAAGGTGGATGCAGCCTACTGGGTGGGTGTGGATGGAGTGGGTGTGGCCTACTGGGTAGGCGTGGCCAGTTCTACATTGTTCATGTCAAGGGTGCTTGTGGGGGCCTGGGCAGGAGTGGGACAGATCTGAGGGTCTCTGGAAGAAAGGGGTGGGACCTGGGCAAGCGGCAAGGCATGGTCCATTTTTTCATTCCTCACAAAGGGTGACACCTCCCCAGCATGCACCCAGGGGGCGGGGCTGACACAGCAGGGGCTGGTTCCTCGCTGTTTCCAGACAGCCTTGTGGAGCTAAGACTGAATGCGTTTCAGCATAGATGGCCACCACAAAATTGTATATTGGCTCCCGGACGGCCTGGGCCTGGGCCAAGGCAGCGGGAGCCGTTCCCTCACTGTTTCCAGGATGGCTCCATGGGCCACATGAAACCACTTCGCAGGCCGCATCCGGCCCCCGGGCCTTGTGTTTGACATGTCTAATTTAGGGCATTGAGAGAATACTGAGCCCTAGGAATATCATTCAAACTAGGGGCGTCCAGATCTCTTACAACAAAAGTCCCAAGGCTAATCCCAGGCTTATTTTTTCTGCAGCTCCTCCAGATCCACTGCTTTGCAAGTTTGCTGATGGTGGCCAGAAGAAGCGCCAGAATCAGGGCAAATATGTGCAAAATGGACGAGCCTGGCCAAGGGAAAGTGACACGGTAAGTGTGAGGGTCATCAGGAGATTAGAGGGCTTCAACAGTCACAGAATACCCTTTGGTCATATATGGGGGCCCAACGAGAACTTGACAAAAAAGTTTATTTGTCATGTTCACTCCTAGCATGGAACTTCCTTTTTTGCAATAATTGTATTAAGAATTGCATTGTAGAAATAAGACTAATACAAACTACAAAAAAATCAAAAAGCCCAGCAAGTATAGTTAACATTAACAACTTTTCACTCTCTTCATCCTCTATTCCATCCCATTCTCTATCAACAAATCTTTAAAACCGCACCACTCCATCTCCGTCAGTGAAAGTCCATTAAGATTTAAAAAGTAGCAACATAACTATTATAAACTATGTTCAATAAATCCATTTTGAATCCTTCTTTTTACATATATTTCTGATTTTCTTTAAACAAATCCCCCTGTATCATTCTTTCAAATATTTATTTATATCCCACTTTTATTATTTTTTTACAAATACCTGAAGGCCGCAAAGTTATCCGACACATCTTCCTCCTTCTATTTTCCCCACCACCAACTCTGTGAGGTGGGATTGGGCTGAGAGAGAATGACTGGCCCAAAGTCACCCAGTTGGCTTTCATGGCTAAGTTGGGACTTGAACAAATGGCCTTCCGTTTTCTAGCCTAGACCAGGGGGTAGGCAACCTTGGCTCTTTTATGACTCGTGGACTTCAACTCCCAGATTGCCTACCCCTGGCCTAGACCAAACTGATTTGTAAATAAACAAAACTTTTAAAACATAAAACAGTTCTAGTCCACGTTAGTCTATTAAACGTTACCAGATTTAGCAATCCATCTCTTTTAACCTTGGTCAAATAAACCAACTATGTAATCTTTCCCCTTTCTCATAACAACCTTTAGCCTCCTCAGATAATATCCAAACATCTGTTTTCTTTTCATGTTTTCTTTATGTCTTCTCATAAAATCATTGGCACCTTTTTCTGTAGATCCGGTATAAAGAGGTTATCCACATCATTCTTCATATTCTCCATGTTTCTTCTCACAAAATTGTTGATAACTTTAACAAATTCCTTTTGCAAATCCCATATGAAGAGATTATTCACATCACTCTTCTGGTTTACTATTTACGAGGTTTTTTTTTTTTCAATCAACCAGTTTCACTTGTATGTCCAATAGTGTTTCCACTATTCACCTTTCCCCTCTGCTTATAATTTTTAAATCTGCATTTAAATCAATTTCAACTTTATTCAATCAAATCTGTTTCTCTTCCACAACAACATCCAATTTATCTTATCCTGGCAAATAATTTTAAAATTATTTTTTTTTGCGCCCAAAAGTCATATACCTCACTCAGTAAACCGCTTGATACATTCATTTCCTTCTTGTGCCTTCAAAGTCATCAATTATTGTTTTCAAATATAAATACTGAATGTTTCTCACGAGGAAAATCCTTTTAATTAATTTCAAAGTTTTAATTCAAGTTCATCTAAACATTTAATCTATTTGAAAATTTCTAGAACCCAGCACTAATCACTTTTTTGCTATATTTTCAAAAAAAAAATTTCTACAAAATCTTAAATTCATGAATTTTTCCTAAAGAAAAGAAAGAAAATTGAAGAACAAAACCCTTGCCCAGTGAGTACAATAAAACTTGTGTTTCTGAAGATTTTCAATCTTTAAAAAAAACCTCACTTTAAGAAGTGAGGTTTTCTTGAACCTTGAGTTCAGAAAAGGCTTCAGTAATGTCTCTGGCTCGTGTACAGATAGTCCTTGACTTACAACCGTTTGTTTAGTGACAGTTCGAAGTTACAAAAGCGCTCAAAAAAGTGACTTAGGGCTGTTTTTTACACTTACGAGCATCGTACCACCACCTTGGTCACGTGATTAAAGTTGGGACGCTGAGCAACTGGCTCACATTTATGACGGCTGCAATTCCCGGGGTCACATGATCCCGTTTGGTGACCTTCTGAAAAAGCAAAGTCAATGGGGAAGACAGATTCACTTAACAGCCACGTTACTAACTTAACAACTGCAGTGATTCACTTAACAACCGAGGCAAGAAAGGTAATATAATGGGGCAAAACTCACTTCCCAACTGTCTCGCTTAGCAACAGAAACTTTGGGCTCAGTTGTGCTTATAATTCGAGGACTACCTGGAATCCCATTACTCCCAGCTGATTGCAAGCAGCGGCAAAATCCTTGGTTTCTGCCTTATACTCACAAAAGAAATAGCTGTCTGGAATACATATGAATAATCTTAAATGTCTCTCCTTTGTCCGGAGAGATTTTGGCTGTTTGGATCCTGCTTCCTGTTACCATTTTCAACCGTAATCTCTCCCACTGCTCCGTGGTAGGTCAGTGTGCTATTTCTTCACTGGAAGTCTACAACTGCATCTCTGGCATGGAACTTCCTAAGCAAACTGGTTTCCCATCTCTCCCTTTGGATTTTGTGAACTGGCCACAGGTTGTGCAGGCTAAGCTTAGAGACAGGAAAAGTTCTTTAACAGCTTGATTGGCTGTACTGACATGTCACACTAAGCTGGTTGAGAGAACAGGCTCTCTACTGGCCTGGGTAAGGCTTGTGACGTGTTCCTGGAAAGTTGAAATAATAACTATGGCTTCACTGAGCTGAGAACCTGGTGCACTGGGGGACAGGAAAAGGCGTGAGCCATATGTGAATTAACTATTGTTTCCTGCAGGGTGGGATGACCTTGACTTATGACCCGACAACAGCGTTACAAAACGGGTATGTCTTTGTTCTTGTGCCTTCACCTTTTATTGGTACAGTAATATTTTCATTAGAAAATGGGGCCTGGCAGAATTAAGCTGGCATGGCAACCAGTGGGAAGAGAGGTCTGCTGAGCGCACTCTCAGTTTTGGGACAGACTTCTAACAGGCGGCTTTGCTCCCCCTATTTTCTCTGCAGGTTTTATACAACGCCCTACAGCCTGGCCCCAAACAGGATGATTGCCCAGACTGCGCTCTCCCCTTATCTCCCATCACCTGTTTCCTCCTACCAGGTATGTTACTTTGGCAGCTAATACTGGAGAATGCAAACTGGGATCGGAGTCACAACAAGAGATGGAAATGGCTATGCTAAGAATGGGGAGGAGAAGGAGGCAACCATTCTTTTTCCTCCTCCTCCTCCTCCTCCTCCTCCTCCTCCTCCTCCTCCTTCTTCTTCTCCTCCTTCTTCTCCTCCTCCTCCTCCTCCTCCTCCTCCTCCTCCTCCTCCTCTCCTCCTCCTCCTTCCTCCTCCTCCTCCTCCTCCTCCTCCTCCTCTTCTTCTTCTTCTTCTTCTTCTTCTTCTTCTTCTTCTTCTTCTTCTTCTTCTTCTTCTTCTTCTTCTCCTCTCCTTCTCCTTCTCCTTCTCCTTCTTCTTTTGTATGTGTTGGCCACATACAATAACAAGATTCCGTGATTAAAATGGCTTGGGTCACTAATAACAAGTCAGAAATGGCAAGAAATGATGTGATGGTATTATGATGCATTTATTCAATCCCTTGTGTTTCTCCAGCAAGGGGGGGGGGAATGAGAACACATGTCTGATTTTTAGAACAAATGGAAGGTAATTCTGGTTAACTTTCCTGTTGTACCGCCTATTCAGCTAGCAGAAGTCACCTTGTTTAGATGAAAAGTACTTTAACGAGAGAGAATGCAGCTAGCCCTGCTACTCCTAAAACCCCTGTTCGCTGACTCTGTGTGTGACAGGAAAGGTCTGCCTTTAAAGTGGCCTTCCAAATTGCATGACCCGTGTTCAAAGATTATGGGAGTCGTAGTTCAAAATCCAGTTTTTAGGAAGGAACCCAGAGTGGAGCAAGCCAGATTAAGCAGAAAGGTCTACAAGGATGTGAGCTGTGAACCAGAAGTCCTTGGTTGAAGTCTTATCTGCACTACTTGGATATTGTTTCTCAGCCTGCTTCATGACAGGGAATTGAATAGCTCAATCAATCTACCTTTTAGGACTGGACTGTTTTGTTAAGATACCATGTATAAAACATGCTGCCTTATTCTAGGTCCACAGTCCATCTTGGATGCACCATCAGTCATACCTCATGCAGCCCACGGTGAGAGCTGTTTCTGCCTGCCCGCCTGCCTGCCTACCTGCCTACCTACCTACCTGCTTGCCTGCCTACCTACCTGCCTACCTGCCTGCCTGCCTACCTACCTGGAATCCTCCATTAAGGAAAACGTTGCAAAAGTTCTCATAGTGCTAATTAGTCCTTTTAATTGTGAATTCAGATGGAACAGTGAAAGTTGGACTTGGGTGGTTGTTTTTTTTTTTTTTAACTTGCAAGAGTTTGGGCTTTCTCCCTTTCTAGTCCAAATGACAGGAAAAATTATTAAACTGTGTAACTGTTTTTTGTTTTCTTCGTCTTCCTGGACCAGGAGGGTAAAAACACTTATGTATTAACTAACGACTGATATACTTTACTACTCATTGGGAAGACTTTTTTTTTTTTGCTTTTAATTCAAAGTGCTGTGTGGCCTAGAGTGCTAAGTCAGTATGTCCCACCTTTTCTAATTATCCTCCAATTTGAACTTTTGGGAAATGCAGTGCTTTCATACCGGAGTCGGTTGTAATGCACATTGTTCTTAGGATGTTTCTAGACTCATTCCCTTCATTACTTTCCGTTTTGTCTCAAACGGTGCCCTCTTTTACTCAGTATTTTGTTCCCAAGCAGGGGACGATGCTCACACCTACCATGGACCACGCCATTTCCATCCAGCCCACTTCCATGATGGGGCCTCTCACCCAACAGCTGGGCCATCTGTCCCTCAGCAGTGCTGGCACAGTAAGGACCCCTTCCCTCCTTCCCTTTTTTTTTTGTGGGGCTGAGACCCAGTTTTGCTGTGGCCTCTTGACATTTTCTCTCCTTCTCACCAGTATATGCCAGCGGCAGCAGCTATGCAAGGAGCCTATATTCCCCAGTATACACCGGTGCCTTCCTCTAGTGTCGCAGTTGAGGTAAGAGGCCCTTTTCCCCTTCCTGCTTAAATTAGGGAATGCTTCCTTGGTACAGATTTATGCCTTAAAAAAAAAAAAACACGCATGCTGAGTTCACATAGCATAGTGTTTCTCAACCTTGACAATTTTAAGGCATGTGGACTTCAATTCCCAGAATTCCACAGCCAGCATTGCTGGCTGTGGAATTCTGGGAGTTGAAGTCCACATGCCTTAAAATTGTCAAGGTTGGGAAACACTGACACAACAACTTTGAGTAAGCTAAAATGGGGATGGGAAATGTGTGGCTTATTTTCTTCCAGGGTCTCAACCTTTGCCTTAGCAACTGGCTCTTACGTCAAACCATTAGGGGTGAGTGAGTCACATAACATGTTATGTGACCCATTAACTTGGTTTTGGGATTTGGCATTTTGTGTGAACGCAGCCTCCGGACTGTATATTGTCTGGGGTAAACTACATGCCTATGCAGAGATTGTTTATCTTGCACTGATATACATTTTGGTGTTGTGTGTTTCCAGTAAAAAGGAGGGTAAGATGATGGGTGGAAATCCAGAGCATGTCTTATAGATTTTGGAAATGGTACCCCATAGATGGAAGAGGATTCCATATTCCACTGCCACCCAATTGTCCATAGGAGCTATGGCATACATGCTTCGATAATGAAGTTTACCAAACTAATTTAAATTACTCTGGGAAGTTGATTAGCCACTACTCTTTAATATAGTGGTTCTCAACCTGTGGGTCGGGACCCCATTTGGAGTCGAATGACCATTTCACGGGGGTCGCCAAACAATGCAGTCCGCCATTTTTTTCCCCTTTTCCTTAGCTGTGCTACTCCCTTTTATTCTATTGGCTTTTGAAAGCCAATAGAATAGATTCTCTTGAATAGAGTCTAATTCTATTGGATTTCAAAAGCCAATAGGAATTGTCCAGGCTGTCTCTGCCCTGCTGAGCCCGCCAAAAGTCCCAGTCTGCAAACGGTGCTGCATCAGTTGAGTAGTCCTCGACTTACGACCGGTTGAGTAGTCCTCGACTTACGACCGGTTGCGGGTCGCGGCATTAAAAAGGTTGAGAACCACTGCTTTAATAGGTCCTATTCCGAAATGAGCTCTTGCTTCTACACACTGGTGTCTTCCCACAGAGGCCCTTGAATGCTTTTTCTTCCCAGCCACATAGAGTCTTTCAGTGCCGAGCATAAAAAGCAACACCGGGGAAGCCTCCAAGTCCCATCACAGGGTTGGGGATCTGAGTCCGTGTGGTGGGTAAGATGAGGCGTCTCTGGAGATCAGTTTCCTGTTGGTGGAGAAGGCACGTGGCCGGCTGCTGAGCTCTTAATGAGGGAAGTGGAGAGGTCTTGATTCCCTGCCCAGCCACGTGGCGATTTGACCTTGCTCATCTTAGTGGGGCTGAAAGGTTTGGGGAAGATACGGCTACCATCCCAATTCCCCCAATGGGTATTTTGTCACAGGAGAACAGTGGCCAGCAGAGCCACGTGACAGTGGAGTCTCCATCGGATCATGCTGCCTACTCGTATCAGTACAACAAGTAACAACAGGTAAGGACAGGAGGGGAGGGACTGGCATATGTATCTTAGTCTTCTTCTCCCAGAGATAGCTCCGTTCTTTTTGTTTACTCAATCCTTTGCCAGTTCCGGAAAAAATAACTGAGTTTGGAGCGCATGCTTGGTGCCTTGGGCAATAGCCCTTGACCACCGGGGGGGGGTCCTTCTCGGGGTCATTTGAGCCATCTGGGTAGATTCACCCCCCTTTTCTCTCCTCCCAAAAGGAGGAAGAGAGGTGCAAGAGAAAGAAAGATAAGAGAGAGCGGGAGTTAGGAGTCCATTGAAGGTATTTTCTCCAGCAACTCCAGAAACCTAGATTTAGCTCTGTTTGTCTTCTCCACATGCCAGGAAACTTCCTTAAAAGAGGTCAGCGTGGCACTTGAGAACTGGGCCACTGACGAGAACTGTGAATGAGTCACGGGGGGTGTGTGTGACTTGTTAGAGCATTCAGTCTTGGCCAATTGGAAAATGAGATCCGGGGTCCTCCCCTCCCTGTTCTTTATTGTGGAGGGGCAGCAAATGTGGCTTGGACATTAAATCACACTCCCTCCCCTCCCCAAAATCAAAACCCACCCCATGTGATTTAAGTAACTGCAGGAAACCGGTTTGTGGACTTGTGCTTAAGCAGGGTTTAATTTCTAAAAAGAAGAAAAGAGAGTTGCCAAGCGCAAGGCTTGTAGCGGTGCCCTGTGCGTCTTCCTGCTGCTTAATTTAAAAGAGGAATAAAAAGGGTTTTGAGACGCTTTTAAGGACCGACAGGAGGCTGAACTACTCCGTTGCTCCTAAATAAGGAAAAAAGGAAGCCAGGAGGCTAGACTTGAGTCTCCACATCATGTTCCACAGAGCATTTCTGCAATGAGCTGGACGTTGTTCGAGCGTGTGGCTTTGTTCCCAGAATTCATAGCAGTAGCTGTGGTGACTGGGGCATTCTGGGAGTTGAAGTCTTCACATCTGGAGGTCACCTAGGTTGGTGGAGGCTGTCCTGTTCCGAGAATGAAGAAGGATCAAACGTCTCACTGACCTAGGATGCAGAATCTACTTCTTGTCCCAGGAACAGGCCCAGTTTCTGTGTTGGCTCCAGCTTTTTTCTGTCAGGACCCTCAGATATGGACCTTGGGCACAACCGCAAACTGAGTGAGCAGAGAGTGGAATCTCAATGAGACTAATAAGGATTCTCCCCCTTGCCTAGCCTGGCAATTTGTGACCAAGTGATCCCTTCATCCCTTCAGGGACTAGTGAAAGTCCCCTGCTGAACCTTTTGCATGTTCAATGAGACCTATATTATATATTGATCTTCAAAGTGTCACAAAACACACTTGTTTGTTCTCCCAAGCAGGCTAATGTGACTCTCTTCGCTTGGAATTCTGAGACCAACTCTCAGAATGACATTTCTTGAAGGAGCTCCTGGTGTGACCTCAACATTTCCCACAGTGAACACTTGAAGGAGGCCCATGTTCTGTGTCTCCTTCGTTCGCTGCAGGAAAGGCAGGGCAAGGCTTCCTGGAGCAACTGTTCAGGGTGGAGTTGCCCTAACTAATTCAGACCTAAGCTTTCAGCCCAAAGGCCTTCTCCCACATAGGTAAGCAGCTGAAGGTTGAGGCCAAGTGGCTGAGAAAGTTGCGTGTGCTCAGATCGATTCTTCAAATGCTTCCTAACACATTGGACACCAGGGCAGTTGCCAAAAGTGTGGGTGGGGAGAGAGGCTGAAGGAGGAAGGCTTGGGGCTGAGACGGTTTCTCTTCTTGCTTACTACTTTGTGTGCCACAGACACACTACCTCCACGGATGTCTTTGTTGCCTGCTCTCGTAATTCCCGCCATTTTTCATCCCTTTAGTGCCACCGAGCAGCTCAACTCTGAGCAATCACTTCGAGGGAGACAACGTGTTCTTTTTTTTTTTATTGTTGTTAAAATTTTGTGCTGCGTTTAGAAGATGTTGGAACCATTTTTGTTTTTTGTTTCTTTTTTCTTCTTTTTCTTTTTGGCAAAGAAAAAGGTTGTTTTGTTTTTTTAAAAAGGAAATAACCGCAATAGACTTTTGTCACCGAGGAACCAAAGGAGGTTAGAATGGGGGTACAAAAAAAAAAAAAAATACCCCCAACCCTTAGATGTACAGATGGACTAAGGACTATTTTAATACGAGAACATTTGTGTGTGTATGTGTGCGCGTGTGCGTGCGTGTGTGCGTGCGTGTTTATTTTCTTGATAACAGCAAAGTCAAACGCTTTGGATGCCCCAGAATTCCCCAGAGAAGAAAAGGAATTTTTTTCCCCCTTCTTTTGGAAAGCTGGTTTGGTACCTCTGGGAGGAAGGTTTTTTTTTTTTTTTTTTTTTTGCTCCTTTGAATTCATTTTGTTTTCTTTGGTCATGTAAAAGATTTTCTAAAGGACAAATATGCAAAAGTGTTTGAATATTTTTTTTGTTGTTGTTTTATAAGGAAAAAAAATGCTCTGAAAAGCCCCACCTCGCAGCTGTAGGATAAAAAATCAGTGCGGAGTTCTCTTTTTTTTTTTCTTTCTTTCTTCTTCTTCCTGGGGGTGGGAGCGGGGAGGGAATTTTGCTTTGAAAGGATTATTTTATTATTTCAAGAGGGTATTTTTTTTCTAAAAAAGACAAATTTACAAAAAAATAAAAAAGAGGAAATTTACAAAAAAAAATTCAGAAAAAAGGAAATCTTAAAAAAAAAAGTTGAACTTTGGCGGCAGCAAGAGGGGTTTGCTTAATGCTTGTCAAGTTGGAATGAAATGATGCGGCTGGAGGCATCCGATGAACTTAATCTTTTTGTGGGTTTTTTTTTTTTTGGCATAAATTTTGCCTCAGCTGAGAGAGAGAGAAAAACAGAGTTTGCGCCAGACCTCAATTTCTGCCCTCTATCCAATTGGACTGTTTTTTGCTGGATGTTTTGGACTCTGATTTGAGCTTCTGTGCAGACCCGTCTTTGCTTCCACGGGGAGGCCTCCCCCCTCCTCGCCTGCCCTGTCCTGCCCTGGACCAGAGGAATAATAAACGGACTAAGGAATCTGTCGCCAGTGATGCGTCATCACCTCTGGACTCTCGGACGTTGAATGGACACGTTGCCAGCAGCAGTGCTTCACCCCGTCCCCATCCCCAGGATACACAAACACACACACACACACACACAGTGCCTTCTGCTGCCTGCGGTCTGGACTGTGCTGCCGTAAGCCCCCCCCCCTTCCGCCCCCCAGTTCCTGCATGCCTGCCAAGCCCAGGTCCACAGTGCGTCCGTCCGGTCTCTCGACCAACTCAGCTGGGAACAGGTGCTTCTCCTTCCGACTGGTGGGGACTGCAGGAAGCCCGTCCCAATTGCTGTGAACCAAGCAACCAAGGAGCATCGAGCACCTTGCAAGGGGATGTTCCAGCTCCCCGCTCCCCCCCCCCGCTCCAGAGATCCTAGTTACTATGCACGTTATCCCTTCCTCCCCCAGCCCTTGATTGCTGGCTGCCCCCTGAGATTTGCAATAGGAGGAGACTATGTGCAATAATTCAGCCTTTCCTACCTTGTGTTTCCCTGCAGGGCCTCCTGAAGTGCTTTAGACACCTCTGCATGTTCCCTTCCCCTTTCCCCCAACCAGATGGTGCTAAAAGTCATCCTCTCTTCCACCATAAAGTCACCCCCCAGCCCAGCTGGCATGTAGCTGACCCTTCCATCCTCTTGTCCCCCGTCCCCCCATGGGCTGTGATCACCTTGTCCCCTTTTTCTCTCCTCCCCCTCCTGCCTGCTGGCCCCTTCCTTTGAAGAAATGGCTCTTATGCAGCTGACAATCAGGAAGGAGCAATGGTGGAGGCCATACGGGTGTCACGTGAGTCTAGGAAAGCAAGAGTATGTGTGCATGTGTCCCTATCTGTCTAGGTTTGTGTGTGTACCATCCATGTCTTTGAGGGAGGGGAGAAAGAGCTGTGGTAGGGTGGCACTGGAGGAGGTGGCATTAATATATCGGTGTAATTGGACTTGTGCACTGCTCAGGATCCTTTTGTTGTCTTAAGCCACTTTTAAAGCATGGTCCTGACCCAGCAAGAGCAGGTTGACTTCCTACTGGAGATTTGGGGAGGATTCAGTTCACTCCATCCTCATAATCCTTCAGTCAGGCTTGTTTCGATACCTTCCCACATTGCTCGTGAGAAGGGACGACCCACAGACAGGAGACACAACTGTGATGCCCCCCCCCCCAAAAGAGAGGCAAGACTGACAGTGCAGGAGCCCAGTGGATCCAAAGGCTGGCTACGTTTGGTGCCCCTTTCTCTGGCCTGGCCAGACCCTTGGTTGGCATAATCACCCCCCACCCACCCACACCTCCCCCTAGTGCTGAGAGAAACTGAAGTGCCTTTTTTGGGGCATGCAAGCTTGCCTTCATCATTATGTTATGTGATTTTCGATGGGCCTCATCCGTAGCCTAATGGAGTTTTGCAGAGTCGGGTCCCAAAGAGGTTGGGATGGCCAGAGAAACAAAACAAAACCAAAAATTACAGCAACTGAGATTCTGGTTCCAACTGTCCCTATTTGGGAGGCAAAGGCAGAGGAGCACACAGTCTCTGCAGGACTAATAAAGGAACTTCCCAGATAGGTTGGGGTTTATACCCACCCACCCTTCCCTGTCTTACTTGCCTGCAGTGCTCACATGCCAAACTACAGGGAAACTTTGAAACACCTCACATCTGCAGCCAGAATAAATACAAGCTATAACAGGATTCTACTTGAGAAATTGATTCCAGATGTGCTCCAAATATGGGCTGCAACCTCAGACTACATCGGGGTACACCTGTTCCTTAACAGGCCACTCTCCTGCCTTCCCCTACCCCATTTTTTTTTTTTTTTTTTTGAGCAGCTTTTTAGAAAGGATATAGCAGAGAAACTCATTTCCTTGAATTTTCTTTCTTTAACCCCCTAGGACCTCTTCTTACAAAATCCCACGTGGATTAAAGCATAGCTTCACATCTGGAAGACACCAGGTTGAGGCAAGGCATCCTTTGAAATTTTCTTGGGACACTTTCTTAGAGTGAGTGAGTGAGTGAGATCTGTAGAAATCTTGTTTTGATAGGATTCATGCTGCCAATTTTTTTTTTGCTACATTAGGATTTATAGCTGCTTGTTCGAATCCCCAAGATCTTACTAAAACAACTAACCTTAGGTGGTTAGTGAAACCCGTGTTTTTTTAAAAAAGATAAAATGACGGGGATATTGTCTATAGGGATCTTCTGAGCTTTTAGTTCGATTCCTACAAATGAATGAGTTTACAATTAAGATTCTCCTGGTTTGTGTTAATAGACTTAAGTTCAGTCACCTCCAAGCACCCCTGCCCCTACCTATTTTAGATTGGAGTGGGAAATATGCTAGATATTTAAGCATTTGATGATGGCAAGAATCTTGATAGGTTTAAATTAAAATTTAGTCTGTGCTTGTACAGCCTTTAGAGTGAGGCCATTTTTAAATGTAGCAGTAATCAAAAAATAAAATTAAAAAGTCCCTAGTCCTAAACTCTTATCTGGAAAACTGTTAGAAAATAAACATCAAGGATTAGGCTTAACCATGTTATGTTGCCTTTGGTGTAAATTTCAAGCAGGTAATGAAAACATGAATTAGCTTTTCAGCCCTTTCATGGCTTAGGTATTCAGGTGTAATCATTAAAATCAGGGTTACTGTTTCCTTAAATACTAGGAACATTAAAATTAATTAAATTATATATTAAAAAAAACCATTCAGATAATTGATTAATAAGTAAATAAAATTAGCAAATCGGGACTTTAAAACAGACCTTTAGACTTAGTGTGTCACTGTTTTCAAGTGGTAAAACACAGCAGCCCTCCAAAGGCATCACTCCCAAAGCTCTGTGCTGCAATCTAAGGAGAATTTTCTTTGAACCCAAGCTAATTTGGGAGATCAAAGGAGTTTAGTTAATTAGCTACCAAGTTTATTTTGCCCCGTATATGAAATGAGAAGTATCCTAGCTTTCTCAATTTTGTTTCTTCCCTCTAGCACTCGGGGGGGGGGGGGGGGAAGCAAAGAAATTCAGGATTACAACTTGGTAAAATTCAATTATGATTAAGAGAGCAGCCTTCACCAAGAAGGAAATTCCCATAAATTCAGGAAACTTGACTTTTAAGCAGATGTGCACATTCCTGTATTTTGTAGCCTTAGTGAAACCTTAAACCTCCATGTGAGTGGGGAAATGTTCAGGGTGGGTGGGGGATGTGGATTTGTAGACCTGCCCCCAATATTTATGTACCTCTAGTGCAGGGGTGAGGAACCTTGGCTCTTTTATGACTTGTGGACTTCAACTCCCAGGATTCCTGAGCCAGCTGGCTCAGGAATTCTGGGAGTTGAAGTCCACAAGTCATAAAAGAGCCAGGGTTCCCCACCCCTGCTCTATCTAGTGCAGTGTTTCTCAACCTTGACAATTTTAAGGCATGTGGACTTCAACTCCCAGAATTCCACAGGCAGCATTGCTGGCTGTGGAATTCTGGGAATTGAAGTCCACATGCCTTAAAATTGTCAAGGTTGAGAAACACTGATCTAGCGCAATACTAATCTGACCCTCATTGAACCGCTGGGATGCTTATCTGTGCACAGAAATAAATGTCTGCATTGAAAGCCCCCAATGGCTCTGTAAAAATCAAGTGCCAGATCAAGTACTGCTTTGGAACAGAGAGTTCCTTCTTTTAGCGCACCTGCCTGCCTGGATTGCTTTCCTGAGCTCTGCATTTGGTATTCGGCTGCCATTAAACACCTAGCATTTCCTAATCAAGTTCCCACCCAGAAAGAACATGAAGCTTTCCTCTGGGTTGGCTGTCCCTTTGACAGTGTTTGTCCCAGGCATAGGATCTGTTTATTAAAAAAATAAAATAAAATCCCACAGCCTCTCTACCTTATGACGATGCATAATGGATCCTTGCATGTCTGTGGCAAAAAGCATGTTTCCCGGCAAGGGGGCAACACACTTGTGGTCCAGTCTATGTGTATCCTGCTCACAGAATCTTGAACCCATAAGACAGAGCACGCCCACTTGTCCAAACCGCAGTACTCATTTCTAAATGAAGATGAAAGCCCAGTTTCCTCTTTTTTTCTTCTGATCTCTGAAAGCCGTTCCTTTCGAAGCGTTGCTGGGTCTCTTTCTCTTTTAGAACCAGAGATTAGACTGGCTCACTGTTTGTCATCTTGAATGTGGAATAGGAGACAGCATTTGGCAGAGCCAAAGTCCAAGCTATAGGATGGGGGAAATCGTAGGGAGTGGTGTTTCAAAGCCAGTTCTGAGGATGAAGATGTTGGACTCGGCGTGGTCTATCAAATGCGACTCCTTAGGAATCTTAAGAAATCTCACACCATATTAGAAACAAAAGTAGACCTGACTCTACAGCACAATTGGCACCCAGGAATTGCCACCCAAAGGCATTGAGACTATTGGGACAAAGGTAACAAGAGAGGTGGAGATAGAGTAGCAGCGGCCAGTGTGTGGTGTGCATGCCAAGACAGAGATTGCTAAGAGTTTGGAAAAGAGGACAGCTGTAGATTAAAAATGTTTTGGAGGAAGTCTGCTGTGGGTAAGATTGAAGAAGATCAAAGCTAGAGATGGATGGATGTAAGAGTGAATGTAAGCTGCTAGAAGAGAAATAGACATGCAGATATGTATTCTTTCCCACACATTTTGCCCTAGCAAAGATTCCTTTTAAGCCTCAGCTCTAGTCTCATTCCTCTTCCAGGACCACTGCCTCACAACCCTTTCATCCAAGCTAGACATTAGGTTTGTGCCACACTCTGGGTCTAGTTCCAAGCAGGTCCCTTGGAATGCAAGAGTGCACAGACATAGCATCTCTCTACAACTCTTTACAGCAGCCGGATTTTTATCTAGGAACCCAGGGCAGCTGAAGAGGACAAGTGTGTTATCCCAGGCAAAGAGGCAGGGGGTTAAAAGAGTTGCCGACAGGTGCTAGTTGCCCATTCGAGATGCTCCTGTGCAATCTTACTAGATGCGTGCTTTGGGGCAGCAACATTGTGTTATTTTGAGTTTATTCCATCATATCCATACGGAACGGACGCATAGTGGGTGATGAAAAATGCTAGGCTCCTCTTTCAACCGCGGTAGGCTGCAGAGGGCACCTTGGATGGCGGCCTTTCTGCTCCAGCCCCATCTCATGGTATCCGCTGAAAGCTTACAGGAAGGTTCCAGTTTCCTGGCAGACTGCAAGTCAAGTCCACAGCTACAACCCACCTGCGGGCTGGGAAGATCACAGTTAACAGTGCTTTACTATATATAAAACCATCCCTTGCTTAAATCACGATATGGAAGCCTGCATGCTTTGTGCAGGGACCAAACACAAGCAGCTGGGACCTTTGGAGCCCACACCTCTGAGCTGCTGGTTTTTTTTGTTTTTTTTTTATCTTGTGCCTTGATTTCCCCTGTCCCATTCTGACAGTGGGGGAAACCAGTCCCTGCACTTTATAAATGCCCAGTCCTAGTTCAGCTTTTCTCCGTGTCAGTTTTCAAAGCAAGGATGCTGTAGTCTTGTCCTTCCTTTCTACCTGGCTGCTGCTTCTTATTCCAGCTCCCCCTAACCCAGCCTTTACCCATCTTTCCACCCATCACACTGGAGGAGAATGCAGCAGGCTGCCTCCCAAGGCTAATAAGACGAGCCTCTCACATCTTATGTCCATTTCCAATGCGGATAGTTTAGAAAGCGAGCACCATCACCCCGAATTCTTTAGCTGTATCATGCTGGCATTGAAACCTGAACTCCTTGGAAGTTGGTGGTGTAAGGGGAGGTGGGGGAGGGTGGAGAGAGAGAGAGAGGAAACCCGGTTCAGAATTTCCCTTCATTTTTATGCTCATCAATTCCAGTTTTTGTCATTCTTAGCTACACATCTACCTCACATGCACTCGCAGTTCATCCGTAGACCCAGAACCGGCAAACTGCACCTTCTCCAAAGGGATACGTTCCCCACCTCATCCTTAAAAGAGAAAACCCTTTAGGCTCCTCTGCTTTTGGGAAGGGGGGGGGGGAGAGAGAGAGAGAGAGAAGAAAAATGTTGGTTTGAATGAAAAATGACCCGTGTTGCTGCTAATTAATACAGTTTTATGTTCAATGTACTCGTTTTTGCTTTGCTTTTCTAATTTTCCTTGTAAAATGTTATTAGTTTATTTAAAATGGAGCAGAAGTGGTTTTATCTAGAGAAGCATTTTGGTGGCTTGTTGTGAGACCCCCAACTGGGCAACAGTTGACAAGACCACAGAGTTGCTTCCCTCTTTCTCCCTCTCCCTTTTTTTTTTTTTTTGCCACAGTTCTCCAGTTTTCCTAGGGCTTCACTGCTTGCACTGGAGATCAAGGGAGGTTCCAGAATGACAGTGGGCACCATCAGTTTTGTTTTATAACGGAGAATGGTGGTTAAAGTTTTCTGGCAAAAGCAAGACCTTATCCAATTTGGAAAGTATCAAAGCATAGAAGAGGCTACTGTCCTCCTAAGAGTTTTACAGTAGCCAAGTACAGTCTTTGCAAGGGATTGGTTTCAACAACAGAATCATTGCCCTAAGATACGCCACACTTTCTAAACCACCAATACCTGGTTCTCCTGTAAAAACCACTGAGAGGTAGAATGCAGACAACAAAAACCGGCCAGACCCTGTTGACAAAATTAGTGGAAAGACTACTTTTGAGTGAGGACTTTCATCATCTGTAAAAATTGTATAAGGTGATGTATGAATAATATGGCTTTGGGAATGATAAGGGGAGGGGGGTAAGAGATATATTTAGTGCTACTATACTGTTAAATTTTTCCAAAGATCAAACTCTGGTTCATTGTAAAGAAGACGTTATGTGGATCCTTCGTTTGGCCCAGGATGGCTGATCTAGAGCTCACCAAAAAGGATTACTTGCTTGATACAAACTTGCTCCCAGTAAGAGCTGTATAATGGTAGCCCACGTGCCCTGGGAAGCCCTGTCCCCCCAGGAATGTCAGCTCTTCGCGCCCCCCCTCCCAAAGCAAGCATGCAAGACAGCACACTCGGCAGAGAGGATGGGCTTCAGCCATTCCAAATCGACTTGTAATTAACCAGAAGTTGTACCCGGCCAATTATATTCCAGGACTCTCGGTGCTATGATTTCCTGCTTCCATTTTTGCTGCACACTTGGGTTTTCTAGAGACGGCCCCAACAGAACAGTGAGCAGCTGTCTCTGGGATGGGTCAAAGGTAGGGCAGAAGAGGCAATGTTTTTTTTCTTCCAAACTTACCATGCGGGTGATGATTTGAAACTGTGTGACTTAGAAAAAAGAAAAAAATAATAATGAAATCAGAACGGCCCCCTCCCACTTTTTGACTATTGCTGTGGAATAAATGTGTACAGTTGCGGACTATTTAGTGTTCTTCCATAGTCTTCCCATCCCTAGCAGGAAGGGCCTGTGCAGATGAGCTTAAACTAGGATCTCTGATTCAATGCAACAAGGTTCAACCTAACTTGTCTTGAACAAATCTCTAGCTTGTCTGCACTTTCCTCTGGAGCAATATGCCCTTAACCTGGGGGTTGTGATGGTTGCACTGATGCCTTGTCCTATAGCAAATTGCCCTTAAACAAATAGCAATAGGCATCCACCCTACGCAACGTCCTTCTCATGCTGGATCATGGCTATAACAAGCTACAGGCTATTTCATGTGCTTCAGTGTATTTGTACTTTTTCATGACTTGGGAACAAGTTAGCTAAATGTTTGCTTTAAGAAAAAAAAACGTCATGGATGTAAAAATGTATTTTGTTAAAACACATTTGGCAGTCAACCCAACTTGAGGATGGAACCTCGTTTGCCTTTATCCCATTTCTTACTCAAGACCTTCAGAACTCCCATTTTGAAGGTACTGGAATTCTTAAAGGCTTCCATTCGCCACAAACCAGAGGAAAGTTCCTGGCCATTTCTCCATTCATTGTACTGACTAGTTTTATTTATATACTTAGGGACTATTTGTACAGGTTTTTTTAATTGAGAAGTTTCTATTGTTTTGTATCCTCCATGCTACATACCGCCAGACCTGTTTCTCTCTCTCTCTCTCTCTCTCTCTCTTTCTCTCTCTCTCTCTCTCAACCCTGTACAATTGCCCCCTCTGTGGAGCTCTGACTGGTCTCATTTTGAACAAATTTTTGTTTTGAAATAAAAGATGGAAAAAAAAGTGCTATGCCTCGATTGTTTCAAGTTTCACTTTAAAGAGGGAACATGCACCTGACGATCATCATGTTTTAGTGGGATTTGAGCCATTTGTTAATATGAGAGCAATTATCAAGATTTAATAGGGATTATTTGTTAATAACAGCTTCAGGTTATATTCGAGAAAGCCCTTTTGCCCACTGCTGTTCTTCCATCAGCCATGGAGTTACAGGAAGAAGTGGTTAATTCTCCAGGCTGAAAACTGGGACATTGTCAGTTCTAGACCCGCCTTTGGCACAAAACCAGTTGGGCGACATGAGCCGGTCCACTGTCACTAGAAAGGAGGCACCGACAAGCCACTTCCGAAAAACCTTGCCAAGACGACCAGAGGGACTTGTCCGGACAGTTGCTAGGAGTCAACACTGACTCAAAAGCATGCACAAACATACATTGTGTTCACAAGGAAGATGTATTTTTATGTGGCCAAGGAAAAAGGCACTGTTCCTAGGCTGGGTGATTCAAGACCTGGGCAAAAGGATGCAGGCTACTGAATGCCTTGTTCTTTAAGCCAAGGGGCTAGCAAAAGCCACTCATAGCAGCAGGAGAGATCCTGAAGCAAAGAGCCAAAAGCCAGAAGCTATCGGAGACGTGAGGAACACTCTGCCCCCTAACAGCCTGTGAATTACAATTGGGTACCATCTTAAAGCCGACAATTCCTGTTTACTAGTGACATACCATTGCTACACGCGGCTAGACTATTGCAGTGTGTGAGAACTTAAATTTCCAGCTGAACCAAAGCTTTATTAATGTACTCTTCTTTATAAAATTCAGCTATGAAAATGTTTCAAATTGCTTACTGTATGAAGAATGTCGATAAGAAAACCTAGTCATAGGAACATAGGTGCTCAGATAGTTCACATATCCTTTCAGGCCAAATGGAAGTACTTTGCCCCAAGCAAATTATCGACGTGATGGTAATACCCACCACTTTTAAAGGGAAAGAACAGCTATATTTTTGGAGCTCTTTTTGTAGCTATCAACTCTCTATTCAAAGCCAGCAGGCCATTAAGTATTTGCCATAGGAAGAAGGATCTTTTCTTTGCTGGCAACTCTCCAAAGGTTTCCTGTATAAGCCATTAATTGGAAATGAAATGGCAAGATGAGGAGTTTGGGTTGCTCTGGAAGGGCTTTTCCTGTAGGACAAAATTAAGCCACTAACAATTTGTGGTGAAAATACCTTTCTCAGAGTAAAACCACCCATCGTTAAATCTGATCACTTTGTAATTGGTTGCCTGATTCAGCTTTTCTTGCCTGGAAAAGTCAGCTAGCCTGTTCTGCAGGCAAAGGAAAACGGACTACAAAAATGGAGCATTATTTTGACAAAGAACTTTTATCTCGGGTTGGGAGAAGTCAGATAGCAACCTGAGGTGTAATGGAATAGCCTTTCTCCCATGCACAGGGCCAGATTTCCAGGTTTGGATTTGTTGGATTGGAACCAGGGGACTGGGAGTTCTAGTCCTGCCTTAAAGCACCAAGCCAGCTAAGTGATTTTGGACCCATCCCTCTCTCTTCGCCCTGGGAAGGAGGCAGGGGCAAGCCACTCCCAAAACTATTTGCTCTAGCAGTCTCTGGTCAGGGGTTGACTCAATGGATAGTAATAATACTGACAACTTTTTTTCGAAAATCAAAAAATCCCAATGTGTTTATATCCAGAAAACTAATCCACCATCTGGGAAACAGTTGTGAGGGGAAAAGGCAATATTTGACCGTTTTTGTGTTGACAAACTCTTACAATAAAAATGTTTTTAAATACATAACACTGCCCATTAAGTGGAACCCTTCTCAGAATAAAAGGGCAAAAACAATGCTAAAAGTAGTGCCAGTAACCCCTTAGAGAAGGTCAGGTTCCAGTCCCGAACCTTTCCAATCATTTTAGATCCCACTATCATACTGTTATACACAGCTTTACTTGTGACATGCTTGGTACAGATTCTACACAACAAAGGAGGTTTAATGGGACATTTAAACAGCCATTGCTCTACCTGGTATCTTTTCTTGTGGGAGCAATAACATGCGAGAACACGTCTACTAACACAGCCTGAGATTTTGCAACGACAGCGAGCGAACCGGCGTGAGCTGTGTGCAGACATGGCAACACAGAGGGTTTAGCTTTTGCCAATCTTAAAGCTGCAGATTTTATTTTGGGGGCGGTGAGGGGACTAATTTTTAGCACCTGTAATCGGCCATGTAAAATCTGAAAGATGAAGACGAAGTCTGATGAAATTGGAGAATTTAAAATAGGACTTGAGTTTAAGTGCCTATAGAGAAAATCATTTGTCTCTGAATTAAAGTTACTCGCGCTCTTCCTCCAAATCTTTTAAAGCAGTTGTAGTATACTGTAGTGAACAGTGCCAACTGATCCCCAAGCATTCAAAATGAGCAAAAATTTGCTATTTACACACTTTTGTTCCAGGCAACTACATTATTGTGAGATGAAGACTACAGTTCTGATCCCAGTTCTGTAGTTCATACTACAATTTTGATATCATTGAGAACAGGTGGAGAACTGGAGGCGCTGCAGCTGCCTCTGGCCAGACTACTGAAATTCAAGGTCAGAAAAGTAGAAAATGAGAATTGTGATTCTTTACCCGTTCCTAGCAGGGAATGCAGAAGAAATGTGCCTTAAAGACTAACCGGTGCATTGCATGAGAGCGGAGGAGGGGAGGGATCCAAGGGGGATGCATCCCCCCCCCCAAGCAGGGATGATCAAGAGTTCCTATGAGAAAAGACAACATTCTCAGGCAGTTTCTTCTCTATCAAACATGGGTTGTTTTTGTTTATTCTTTGAAACTTGACAAGCACTCTAACATCTGTACTTGTGGAAACATCACAAGGAAACAAACAAGAATTCTAGACTTTTTTTTTCTTCCTTTTAAACCTTATTAAAAATGAGGTTGGTCCTAAAAATATAGAAAGAAATCAATTTAAATTCACAAAAAACTGTACATTATCAAAAATTCACTAAAACAAACACATTTGGTTATTTCATATAAAAAAGTTTTGATTTCCCCCCTCCCCTTCCTGCTGTTCAGAACATCTCACAGGATGATGGGTTAGTTGGTTCCTTTCCGATACCAAATTAAGATGAAAGGGGAAGAAAAAGCCAGTGGTGAATGATAAGGCCAATTCTAGTTGCAATTCTTAAATTAAATTCCAAAATCCATGTAACTTTCAATAAACATGTTTTTTTTTTAATAAACTGATTGAAATGACCGTATCCCTTAATGAAGATCAAGATTAGGTCAAACCTGGATTCTTTCTTCTTAAGATGTGTGAGGCTTTGAATCCAAAAATCGAATGTTTCTATAACAAAAAAAGAAACCCCAAAAGCAAAACCATGAAACTCTAAATTAAAAACCAAAAATTAACATCTCCAACTCTAGTTTTCTCATGACTGATGAAAAAAAAAAAAAACCCAAATGTTCCAGAAAAAAATACTACTAAAAACCCACCAAAAGAAGTTTTGTTACAGCACGCTTAGATAAAATATAAATATTTATGCATAATATAAAGTCAGTTTCAAATAGACTTCAACTCTACCTCTTTATTTTAAAAGCCAAAAAACAAAACAAAACAAAAATCCCCAAATTTAAAATAAAATAAAGATTGAGGTTTATTTGATATAAAAAGGCTACTACGTTTTGTGGAAAACAATTTGGGAAGGAAAGTGAGGTTGGGGTGGAGGAAGCACAGTTAAGGGAGGTTTCCGTCTGCAGGTTATATCACCTGTGGTTACATTTTACTTACATCAGTGCTCTTGCAATTGGATTGGTTGACGCGGATTAAGGAGAAAACACCCACACATGTGCACGCACAATCACACACACACACACACACACCCTTACGTCACTCCGATGTAGCACAGATGGATATCGGGGAGAAAGCCATCTCCTAGCAGGACCCTGCCAGCCAAGTATCTGCCCCAAGTGATACCCGTAATTATAATGGTTTGAGGAGCCAGGCTGGATATGAAAGCAGCAAGGGAGGGAAGGTTCCAGGGGGTGGCTTTCTACGCCTCTGATCCACCAAGAGAGATGGAAGAAAAATGGAAGAACCAAGCTGTTTCCTCTGAACAGACGTCGAGACCTTCTGGAGGGTGCGTTGGAATAGGGCTTGCTTAGCCCCCCTGCTTCTGGGAGCAGGAACTGGCCCAGGGGCCGAACAGCAGAGGCCCCTCGTTGTAGTGTGCCTGGGCGATGGGATTCTCCCAGTCTGCAGCTCCTGAACGGAGGCCAGGCCAGTGAACAAGTTCTCTGGCAACTCTCACATTCTCAGCAATGGTGGGAAATGGGATCTCCTGGGTCACGTTGGAATACAGGTTGCAAACAAGCCTTAACCTATCATCAAGGAATGACTGAGAGAGGTTACACTGGGACTGAAAAGAACTGGCCAATTTATCTTATCTTTTGTTCAATAAAACTTCTCGGGGACAGTTTTTTTCTTTTTCTTTTAAAGGACCAACCAGCCAACTGGTGAATGCACTGGCATGCATGTGTGTGTATAGACACATATGCATACACAGGCAGGTATGGAGATGGAGCCTTTGTTGTGACCACAATCTACTTCTTGCTTCAATAAGAGATAAACAAGGGAGGGAATGAGTTAAAGAGGAGACTGGCTTCAACCACTATTTCAATCTGGCAAGTCTCTAGGACAAGACACTCAAATGCACAGGACCAAATGACAAACTGGTAAAAATGATGTGCAGGAAAACTATTATGGTTGGACTAAATCAGAATTTTGCTTCCTCCTCTCAAAACATTCAGAACTACGTTCAAATATAAAGTAGATTAAACTATTCACACGTGGTATGTGTATAAATTAAATACTATATAGAAAATGTCGACCAAAAAGAAAAGGAAACATGTATAAACAGATCTGGATCTTTAAACAAGTCAGCTATGGATATTACACAAAGATGTCCAGCTGAGCACTGCTCTATTTCCAATTTTTGTGCTTCCTGTGTAGACATATGAAGCAATAACTTGTAGCCCACCTCATGAAATACAAAGATTTCGACTTTGCCTTCACTTGCCTTCACATCCAAAGCTGCATTTAGGCTAAGTCTCAGCTTTGATAATCAAAGGAGGCTGCGCTTTAGATTACATATATTAAAATATGGTCAGGAAATAGAAACCTAACAGAAGAAAACGGTAACAATCCTCTTATCATCTTGTTGAGGTCCAAATAGCTACTGAAGAATGAAAGGATTGTATTCCTTCCATTACAATGGAGACAATCTCACAACTTTCTCATAAGGGAAGCAACCTTACAATAGGATTATGGTAGTCACATGCCAAGGCAAGAAACAAACAGTCCTGCCACACATACACAGAGATGGCAGATCAAGCTTTGTAGACGGAAGCTATCCCTGAGGAATAACGCAGGGGCAGAGTTGGATGGGGGGAGCTGTGGACATTCAAATAAGGCTGAGTCCCCATTATATGATCTTCAGAAGAACTAGCATCAAGCACCCAAAAGCCAGTTCCTCTAAAGATACCGATTGGAGCACCCCAGTCTTGCAAGCTTGCGTACTTTGGTCCCTCATAGCCCAGTGAGTCATTCCAGCATACTGCCCGCTATTGGAAGGGAAATGAACTGTATGATCATTAGACAGAGGAACCTCCTCCCAAAATACTATGGAATTACCATTGATTGCCCCTGTGGAGCGATCTGGAAGGGGAAAGAGTGCAAAGATTAGTCCGAGTCAATCATCGTTTGCACACCTAGAGAAAAATACAATCTGGGTGATACTGACTGCTTAGTGGATAACTGCTGTGGGTCATTTCCATTTTGTTGCATTATTTCCTTAGAAATAAAATCTGGAATAACTCAGTAACCCTGAGCAACTGGGGCTTAAACGTGATAGCTGATGGCAATTAATCTGATGGTGGAATATAACCCCACCCACCCTTAACTTTTCACACAGAGGCTCGTATTTGGATACCTCTCCAGCGAAGGGGGCCATCTTGTCTGACTAGAAGGACTAAGCACTTTCAAAGGGAGCTCACCCTGCACCCTCACGGACAGAGTCCCTCAACTTCCTTTCCCAATGCACATACCAACTCTAAACTCTACTCTCGGGTGTAGAAAAGGAAATCAGGCTAGAAAGAAAAGGTTGGCCACAGAAACAAAAGCTCTTCTGAAAGGGGAGAAGCAGGGGTGAGGCAGAGTTGGGAGGGGCAAGGGGAAAAGAAGCAGCACATTTTAGTTTCGTCAAGGTTGTCATTCCTAGAGGCAGGAGTGATCTGATTTTATACATTTCAATGAGAATCTAAGAAGGAGGAAAACTTAACGTCCACATTACTGGCCATTAATGTATTGTACTGACACTGCACAGAAAAAAAGTGTTCTTACACATTCACTAAGAACTATTGCTATTATTAAATAGCCCCAGCTAAGGTGGGGATGTGGGTGGTTGGTTTTTTTTTTCCATTTTGAAAAAAGGAGAGAGATATATATTTTATTTGGCTTATACAGTCAAAGTTTGTGTTGCTTGGAGTGAAGAGAATCAAGGCGTGATGTTAAATGCCAATCCAAGTCCAGTCATTGTGAGGGGGAAAAAATTAAATCAGCAGGTAACAAGATGAGCTCCAGAAGAGACAAGTGTGCAGCCCAGGGTAAAAGGGGAGGCACTTTCCCCTCTGGCTCCTTGCACTTCTTCCCGTTCTGCCAGCTTCATGGGTTTGTCTCGTGTTTTCCCTGATAAAATTCCTCCCACCGGCTCTCAAAAAACTGGCGCATAGCCAGCCCCGCCTTGCCCACCTCCGACTCATCTTCATTAAAGGTCCGGCAGTTGTCAAACACCAGGAAAGCATCAGCAGCAAACTCCTCACAACTGCTGTATCTGTGGGACACAAAAAGCAGGGGTGAGTGTAAAAGTAGGGCACTGAGACACACGTGTCAGTTGTTGAGAATTTCCTTTTTTTTCAATAGCTCCATTCTCCTCGTTTTGTTTCTTCTCACAACTGCTGCCAATTTTTGGCATGTCTTTCTGAATTTAATACAGGCCATATATAATTGCATTTAGCAACTCCTCGAAACCATCCCAGTCTGATATGCCTCTCTTCAAATAAGCATTAGAATGTTCTCTCCACGGCATCCCTCTTTCCAAAAGCTCTGAGCTGGACTGCCGTGATGGCTAACCCTCCCTCTCTCAAACTGAGAGAAATGGAAATCCCCACCCCCGTCCTTATAGGAAGCAGCCCCAGCCATTTGGTCTCATCATACCCTCCATCCTCCACCAGTTGCACAGCCCTGAAAAAGATGGGAAGTGCAAGTATTTTTTGAAGGAACAGCAGTTAATCGTTGACTGGGAACAAGCCAGCAGGTGGAATGTTGCATGGGATCACAGTATCACTCCTTACAGTTGGTTACTTAAATGGCCGCTTACTGACAGCTACTTATTTACTGACAGTTGTATCTATTGATAGAGAGGGGGAAGAAAAAGGAGGGTCTCTTTGCAATTCCAAATGCCTTGCCCTGGCTTTATTCACAAGTCCTGCCATGTACTCACCCACCACGCAACAACTGGGCCCTCATGGTAGCAAAGTCCATGGGGTTCTTGATGACCTTCCGGTAGCCAGGCACTAGCCGGGGGTTAACAGGCTCCAAGAAAGGCCAAGCAGCTTCATGGGACTCCATCTCCATCAAGATGATCCTGAAAAAGAAGAGCCAAGTGGCACTGAAGGGAATAATTCTGGCCAGAAGCGAGGACCGTTATTTGGCCTCTTTTAATCCAGAAAGTCACTTTTGAGTGACAGCTCTCTCTCTCTCTCTCTCCCCCCCCCTCTCTTCCTTATTAACTTTTGCCAATGCATACCTGAATCCCTGTTCCCACCTTTTCCAATTCTCTCTGGGAAAGGTCCCATAAATCTCTCTCCCTGACCCTAATTTACAGAGAGGAAACACCTACTCGCAGAAAGTCAGGTCAGCGCTCTGGCCTCGGGTAGACACTCTTCTTCGTTTGGAGGGAGAGAGGCCTTCACCTGAGTAGCGAGGGGATGTATTTGCCTGGATAGTAGGTTGTTGGGAGGCGGCTGCGGCGGCTGCCCGAGATCGAAGGCTGAGCTCTTCCTTTCCCCCAAAAGGCCCGGAAGGACCACTTTTCCGCTTCTTACCCCGCCGTGGAGAGCCATACTCATCTTGATATTCCCCTTGCATCTGCATCGTGAAAACATTGGGGGACAGAAAGAGAGAAGAGAGAAACTATCATCAAGTTCCTGGATGAGGAGTCCCTTTCAGTGAAGTCAATGCCATCTGCTAGTAAACATGCCAGTTTCCCGATAGGTAAGCATCACACTGCATCCCGCCCTTTCTCCCCTGGAACACGAAGGCACTCAGTGAGAACAAAAGAAAAATCTTGCCAACCCAGGGAAAAAATCAGGGACTTGGAGACAAGACACGCAGTGGGTACCTGAGCGATGCAGAGAGAGCAGAACCAATCCCCATCTGGCACCTCCGCCATCTTGGGTCGATGGCAATAGAGATGGCAGCCGCGGTCACAGCTATCACACAACAGCAGATTCTCATCATCATCCCCTTTTCGGCACACAAGGCAAGTCTGGAAAACAGAGAAGACAAAAACGGATCACCCCAAATCGCTTCACGAGATGAATGCCACACTCTTAACAGGATTTCCTATTCTCTTTCTCTAAAGTGAAACATCTTCTCACCCCAAAGGTGAGCTCCTTCTAGATCAGACATGTCAAACACAAGGCCCAGGGGCTGGATGCGGCCCACAAAGTGGTTTCATGTGGCCTGTGAAGCCATCCTGGAAACAGTGAGGGAACGGCCTTCTCTGCCTTGGCCTGGCCCAGACCAGCCGGGAGCCAATGTACAATTTTGTGGTGGCCATCTATGCTGAAACGCATTCAGTCTTAGCTCCACAAGGCCGTCTGGAAACACTGAGGAACCAGCCCCTGCCACATTGGCCCCGCCCCCTGGGTGCATGCTGAGAATGTGTCACCCTTTGTGAGGAATGAAGAAATGCACCATCGCCTGGAAGTGGCCAGCAAATGGCCCTCGCCTACTTCACATATCCGGCTTGATGGGCTCCAGGGGAGGGGTTTCGGCAGGCAGTGGGGCGCTCTCCTCACAGCACTGAGAGGGCATTTGACCTCTGCTGTCCAGGGCTCCCAGCAGCCTGTGCCACCATCCAGCCCCCCCCCCCGGCATGGCCTGAGAGGAACAGTGAGGCTCCTCCAGTGGACCATGCCTTGGCACTTGCCCTGGTCCCACCCCCTTTTGCCAGAGACCCTCAGATCTGTTCCTACTCCTGGCCAGGCCCCCACAAACACCCTTGACGCAAATGATGTAGAGCTGGCCATGCCCACCCAGTAGGCCACACTCACCCTGGCCACACCCACCCAGCCCCCAGAGGGCAACTGATGTGGCCCTCAATGAAATTGAGTTTTTCACCCCTGTTCTAGATGAAATTCACCCAGGCTAAATCTTTGCTTGAGATACACCACTTTCAAACAGAGATACCATCCCATACATCCAATAACTTTTTTTTTTTTAATTTCTGGTTAGTATTAGCTTAGCCATATACATGTCTATAAGCAAGCCAGAAGAAGAATCATTAATGCTTTTTTCTGCACCAAGCATTTCACGGGTGACTTAACTGGCTTGGATATCTCCTTTAGACTTGGTTACACTTCCTACCCTAAAACTCTTTCAGCCCAATGCCCCTTTCCTCACCGCTCTGACAACCGATTTCTCCCATGCTATAGAGAGCTCCAGTTGGTAGATGCACAAGGAGACTTGTGCTGCACTATGGCATCTTTCCAAAGTCTGGCGCCACGTTCGCATCCGTGGTGTGATTTCGTATGTGCTGTAGAAAAAAAAAATTGTTAGATAAGGAATATCAATTTCAGTCAGCAAAATATATGACTAGTGAAGTGACATCAAAGAACCTTTGTAGAAGGTCAAGTCTAGGGGACCGACATCTCAATCTTTACTTGTATGGTAGTATTCTATCTCAGCCTATAGACTAAACCCCTGTTGATAAAATAGGCTGGAGACTTTAAAACAAAACAAGCCCCTTTTAATATGGGTGACAAACCTGCCAAATAGTCCAAAACACTAACAGCAAAACTCAATCCAAATGAAGGAAATAGTCCACAGGAAACACGATGCAAACAGAAGAGTAGTCACAAGCAAGACGAACAAACCAGGATTCAAAGAAGTACTTTGCAAACGGTTGCCTTCAGCAACCAGCACCGCCCATACCTCCTCTTTTTATACAGCAGTCCCAAGGCGCTGCCTCTTAGTGCCTTCTCCTTTTACCCTGGAGTTGCCGTATTGACTGCTGCTGATTTACTCTCGCAAATTGACGACGTGTGTGAGCACCAATTAGCATGTCCATCAGGTGTGAGTCCTCTGAGTCTGACTCATTCTCCTCACACAGCTGAGCTTCATCAGGATCACGACTGGAGGGCCCAGGCTCTGCATCAAACCGTGAGTCCTGTAATTCATCAGAGCCTCCCTCTGCCCCTGATGGCCCTTCAAATGCCTCCTCCGCTTCCTCCTCAGCTGTTGGGAGCACAGGCTGGCACGGAATCACAACAGGTAGATACGCATAATGGTAATAGGATTCAAGTCACTAGGAGTTCAAATAGGCTGGAAATCAGGTGACCGAGAACCCTACAATACCCATGTCCTAAAAGTATGTCCTTAGGAGCTTTGTTCCAGAATGCCAATGAACCCAGTAGATGAAATGGGTACCAAAGGGCTCAAGCCTCTTATTCTATCAGAAGATATGGAAAACTATGATGATGTTTACCTCTGACTAAAAGCTGAGAAAATTGGGCTCAGAATCTCAATAATAAGAACACCTAGATGAGAGGAGACAAAGAAGTAAACTAACAATTTTCTTCTGGACGGTCTTTGATTAAAGTATTTGCTTTGACTGAACCATCTGCTCCCTGGAACAGAATTCCTTTGGGGATCTGTAGGGCTCCCACCCCGCAGCTGTTCCACAAATTGGACTTCGATTTAGAGAATGCCAAAGTCCAAGAGACGGGTGACTTCTGCTGCTTGAAGGCCACATTCCAAAAGCAGAGGACTTGAAATTGTGGGGATTTAGGGAGCTGATTTTTTAAGGAGTACAGGTAGTCCTTGACTTACAACCAATCATTTAGAGATCATTCAAAATTACGACAGCATTGAAAAAGTGGTTTATGACCTTTTTTATCACTTACAACCATTGCCGCAATTTGGACACTTGGCAACTGGCATATTTTCTGATGGTTGTGGTGTCCTGGGGTCATTCACCTTTTGTAACCCTCTGACAAGCAAAGTCAATGGGAAGCCAGATTCACTTAACAACTGCGTTTCTAGCAACTGAAGCGATTCATTTAAGAACGGTGGCAAGAAAAGTTGTAAAATGGTCCCAAACAACTGTCTTGCTCAAACCAAATTTTGGGCTCAACTATGGTCGTAACTACCTGTTGAGAACTATCTGTAAAATGGGAACCGTAAGCCTTTGCAAAGCTCAAAGCACCATTTTTTGCCCCTTAAACCTTCCCCCAACACCCCAAAATGCAAGAAAGAATCAAACATTTTGGCCCCACTATTCCTGGGAGACCTCTAAGAGGTAATAATGAAAGGATGCTGCTGGGCTGCCCACAGCCTGAGTACAGTTTTTACAATCCTACTCTCTTTAGATGCAGCAATACAATCTGTCATCCACAGATCACAAAGAACTTCTAGATCAGAGACTGCCTTTTCTGGTCACTTAAGCTCCTTCTATTTTTAGTTCCCAAAAGATTACTGTAGTTCCTAAAATGCCTTAGCTCGTGAACATGTATCTTTTTAGTAAATTTTAGCCATTTTGAAGAACGCTGACATTTTCTGGCAAATTTAAAATATTACCAAATTAAATGCTACACTCCACTAACATACATTATTAACATGCAAGTATTATTTTCATACATTCGGCAGAAAAGTTCCATTGTTTTCACCTGGTGCTACTGTACACTACAAAGAGACCTCAAAAACAAACTAACAAAAAAGAGCAAGAAAAATCTTCCTGAAGCTTCTTGTGGCCAACCTTGGGGTCTTTGCTCCTTTTAACACAGAGATAGATACAAGACAGGGAAAGTCTCAAATCTCCCCAGCCCATCTTTTTTTTTTTTTCATTTATCTTCTTTTTATCTTTCCATTTTTTTTTCCTCTATGACAGGGCTTTTCAACCTTTTCACCCATTGTACCACTTTTAGGATATGGCAACATCCGAGTACTACCAGTCGCCCAGCAAGGTGTCAAAAACTTGATGACCCAAAAAAAAAAAAAGGAAAAAAGTGATAAAGCACAGGTAGTCCTTGACTTACAACAGTTCGCTTAGTGACTGTTCGAAGTTACAATGGCACTGAAAAAAGTGCCCCCCAAGCCACAGCTGAGCAAGACACCTGCCTCCCCTCCGGCTGCCCTCTTCCTCCTGTCCAAGGTTTTCATTGTTGTGAGCATTTCTGTTGAGGATTGGCAGCGGGGGTCGGGTGGGGGGGGGGTGTTTGGTTTTTATTCCCCCCCATCTGCTGGGTGGTTGCAGCAGGTTTTGGTCACTTCACATGACCCTGGGACACTGTGACCGTCATAAATATGAATCAGTTGCCAAGCATCTGAATGTAAATCACAAGACCCTGGAGATGCTGCAACAGTCCAGCTGATCGGCGCTTCTTCTGGGCTCAGCAGAAGCGTCAGGATCAGTGCTGAGCTCCAGCTGATTGGTGCTTCTTCAGGGCTCAGCAGAAGTGCCAGGATCAACGCTGAGCTCCAGCTGGAGCCTGGCGCTGATCCTGGCGCTTCCATTGAGCCCTGACAGCCCCGAAGAAGCGCTGATCCTGGCGCTTCCGCTGAGCCCTGACAGCCCTGCAGCTTCAGCCATCTCTCGTTCAGGCTTGTGCGGTGCTGCCACTGGTTCAGCTCATTCCCCTCCCCCACTACTTTTCTAGGATGGTCGCGTACCACCTGCCAAGTGCCAATGTACCACAGGTGGTACCCGTACCACTGGTTGAAAAGCCCTGCTCTATGAGATTGGAGGTTATAGGCAAAATGCTGCTTTTCTTTTTTTCCAACAATGTTTTTGCAGCAAGGGTGCTTTTATAAAAGAGAAGGATAAGTAAATATCAGAGGATGGATAGCAAACAAACTTTACTTCTTGACAATAACTGAGCCCGGAATTACAGTGGTAAGTAGTTATGATCATAAGTTGAAGCACTCACATACCCGGAAGTAATTTTCCAACCTGCTTTGCAACAGTTAAGTGATTGCCATGGTCTTTCAGGGACCCCTATTTATTTGAACTGTCATTTTTTTGCTGGAAACTAGTAAAAACCTTCATGAGTTGAAGTTATTTGATTGCAGAACTCCATGATCATAAGGTTAACATGCCTGACGTGTGGTCACGTGACTGTGCTGGGGTGGGGTGGGGAAAACAACCATTTATGATGGATGTGGATGCGTTGCAGGCCATTAAGAACCCATTTCATGGTCATAAAAGGACCAGTTGTTAAGTGAGGACTACGTGTACTTGGCTCTATCCCAATAAAACAAGTTTTCTGCTCCTCTTGAATTAACTGCCCTTGCACAAACAACAGCAGTATTGTCTTATCGTATCCTACTGTAATCTTCCATCTGGCAATTGGCCTGGAAATCAATCATTCTAAAAAGTTCATATAATGCCAGTCTCCCGAAATGTAAAAAAAACAACAACCAATCAACTGATTTTGGGGTTCCTAAGCCACTCTTTTTAACAACCTGGGATACAGAATCACGGATATAAATTTGCCGATTCAGCCATTAAGAAAAGAAGACACTCACATTTCTGTGGTATCCTGCTCCAAGGTACTGGGGTTAGTCAGCAAAGCTTTTTCTACCACCACCTCATGCGGGGGCCAGAGGGGTTCTCTGAGGTATCTCCGTTCCAGGTTCTGCTCCAGGTCTGCAAGATGGAGCACCGCCAGATCAAGAGGGTTGTTAGAGTCACGCTGCAGGACAGGCCCCTCGCGCTTGTTTTTTACAGTGATGTCTTCCAGGAGTTCTAGTTCACGTTCACAGTACCGCAGGTCTTTCCTAACAGAATCAGGATCTGGGCTTGTCCAACCCTAGAGAAAGGCAAAAGATCAAAACCAAAATGATAAATGGAAAATATTCAGGATTACAGCCCAAGCTGTGAACACTCAGAAGCCATTTGGAATGTTTCTCCAAATAATGATTCAAAGCAGTCCTTATAACTACTCTTTGGTATTTCAGACTATGCTGTTCCTGCCCCCGGGAAGCTTCGTGTCAAATGGTGACGATACTTATGGGACAGAAGTTCTGAGTAAGAGTTAGGAGTTCCGGTATTCTAGAATGAAGAACACATCCAAAATAAAATCTTCCTATCCTATCTAAACAAAAAACCCTAAATTATGACTACAGGGAAGCAGTGTTCATGCAACTGTAATTTGCCACAGAAAGCTAGCTATATTCAAAATACTTACTATCTAGAATCAACTAGTATTTTGCAGTTTCATTTAGCTGCCGTTTCCAATTCAGTACAATTGTCCCTTCAGGAGAGTAACATCAGTAAGTTAAAAATGAAAATGTTACATCCATCCTACTGTTTTAAGATGGCCTACATCAGTGATGGCGAACCTTTTAGAGACCGAGTGCCCAAACTGCAACCCAAAACCCACTTATGTATCGACAGGTGCCGGGTGAGCATGGGCAATTGGGTGAGCGTGGCCCATTGGGTGAGTGTGGTTGGGTAACGGCAGACTGGGTGGAACTAAAAAGTTCAATCAATCACGGCGGCAGAGGCCCAAAGCAAAAAGGGTTTATTAAACCCAGCTGAAGGCCTAGGACTGGGGCGACGGCGCATGTGCCCACAGAGAGGGCCCTGCGTGCCACATAGGTTTGCCACAGAACCTTGTTAATGCAGAGACCCCCAACCGGTCGTAAGTCGAGGACTAAACCGGTCATAAGTCGAGGACTACCCAACCGGTCGTAAGTCGAGGACTTTCCCTGCCCGGGAGCGCCACGCATGCGTGGTGCCGCCCCCTGTGCCGGCCAAGGTGTAGCTGGCAAGCGGCAGAGATGGAGCAGGCCGACCACCGGCTGGGCCACCAGCTGGCCCAGCCCAAGGGAGGTAAGGCACCCGCTGGAAAAGGAGAAAAAAATGGCGGACAGCCTTGCTTGGCGACCCCCGTGAAATGGTCGATCGACCCCAAATGGGGTCGCGACCCATAGAGAACTGCTGGCCTAGATGATTTCTCTAGTCCAGTGGTCCCCAACCTTTTGGGCACCAGGTACCAGTTCCATGGAGTTTTTTTTTTCCATGGACAGGAGGGGGGAGCATGGTTTCACATGCTCCCTGCATCCCACAGATGGGGCTTTGCTTGTTTGTGCGGCCCAGTTTCTGGCATCCCGTGGCCCAGTGTCGGTCCACGGATCGGGGGTTGGGGACCCCTGCTCTAGTCGTCTGAGTTCTAATCTTCAAAACTTAACTTCATTTAGCATTGAATGATTATTTTCAGGATGACCTTTGGAATCTAAACCTCCTTCAACATCCTGGTCAAAGGGCACACCACTGTCAACAGGAGAGCAGATTCCACAGAACCTTAGCACTTACTCGAATCTGCAGATCAGCCATTAGCACCCGCTGCTCAAGCTCCTCCACCCACTGAAGCACTGATAGGTCTGTCTCAAAGGCACGCTCAGACATGGACCACTGCACCAGGGCTTCTTGAGAGATCAGGTGGCTGGCAACCTCAGAATGAATCTTGAAGATGGGATCTAGGTAGGAAGGTCATAAAAGTCAATAAAAAAAAAAATCAAGGTCCTGCTCACAGGCACCGGACCACAGAATGGGAATTTCTTACCATTGGCAGCTCGAGCACACACATCCCGTAGGTAATCCTTGTGCTTGCTAAGGTGCTTCTGCAGGGCTTTTTCCCGGATGCCTCGTGGGTGTAGTACCTCCACCACAGCTTCCAGCTCTTTTGGATCCTGCAACCACCACCAGCCACTCTGCATCTCTGCAAGGGAAGAACAGAAGAAGCTCAGAGCCTGACACCTTCCCAAAATTACCAATTCCAATAGAAGCTAATATTTATGGCTCAGGTTTGAAGCTTGCGTGGAGATCTTGGCGCTCGCTGAATTTGGTTGTTTCCTTGCAGATGTTTCATTACCAGACTACATTTCACCATCAGTGTGCACTGAAGATTTTACCTACTTAGCAAGCAATTACTACCAATTTCATCAAGATGCTTGACATCATGGCATATCCAGTGTATCCACAGTTTGAGTATACCGGTAGTCCACGAGTTAACGAGTGTAATGGAGCCTGCCCATTCCACTCATAATTCATAGAGTGAAGCTCCTATCTCGAAGGAGATCACTCCCTTGCTTGTTAAAATGCACGTGGCTCATTAAGCGAACATGAGGTTTCTCAGGGTGGGGAAGGCCATGAAGGGCCTAGTGGTGGAACAGGTCCCCAAGACCTCCCCGATCCACTAAGATACCTCAATGCTTCCCCCTCCCTTTCTGCCGTGCCGGACTCACCTGGAAAAGATCCGTCTCCTCTCTGCCAGTTTCTGCTGCCACCTGTATCTGAGGCCAGGGGATGCTTCTATTCCGCCCCCCCCCCCCCCGTGGCCCAATCTGGGCTCCGGAGGCCTTTTGCAGGCTGCTGCCACCTGAACGGGCCACCGGAGAGCTACGTAAGCGTTCCCCGGCCTCAGATTCGGGTGGTAGCGGCATGGAAAAGGCCTCTGGGGCCCCAGTCCAGCCTCTGGAGGCATGTGGAAGCGTCCCCTGGCTTCAGTTCCATTCTCTGTTGCAGAGGCCTAAAGTACCATGAGATCACGCGAGATCACTAGCATGAGATATCACCCCACTGATCTCACGTGATCTTCCGTTACTTTAGGCCTCCATTCTCTGTGAATGCACCAAAGGCTTGGAGCAACCAAAAAAGCGAAGTATTGAAGGCCTGGTGCCTAGGGAGATCCGGGGCGGGGGTGGGGAGGGAGGGAATAACCAGGATGAATGTTGCAAAGCCACTGTGGTTGTTTGTAAGGGCGAACGACTGCTGTGGTGCTGCAATATTCGTAACTTCTGGACTTGCTCGTAAGCACTAGGGGGCGCTCATCACATAATTTTGAATGAGCGTTAGGTGAATGCTCGATTTTGACCTGTACTGTCAAAAATGTATACATTTGTATATATATTAAAAAGCATGCTCCATCATTACTAAAAAGTTTCTTGTCCCTTAATTACTGAATGGCTCATAACTTACTTGTGCATCACCTACACATGAAACTGAACTAATTTTCCCAGCTGTGCTTTTGCAAAACATAAAACATTATTTTTTTTCACTTTCCCTTCCTCTCCTCCCTTCAAAGAATCCAGCAGACGGACCAGGAACTCCCAATGTGTTTGTCACTTACCAGGAGGTATAGGCTGTGCTGTCAGCTGGGTCAAGTATTTCTGCTCAATTTGTTTGAAAAGTTTAGTGGGGGGACGCCCCCTTCGCCTCGGCTGCCCTAAAGGTTCAAGCATCTTTTTGGAACTATCCTTGGCTCTGGAGCAAGTGCTGTGGACCCTGGAGCTGGAATGCAACGGAGTAGAGGACAGTGGTGGCAATGCTGGGCTAGAGGTGGAATAGCCATTCAGCTGCGGAAGGGAAAATTCAAAAACCATTTGCATCAAGCATTGCTACAGGAAGCATAACAACATTTAGAAAAGAATAACATCATTGGAAGGAAGCTTAGAGGATGCCAAGTCCAAACCCTTGATCAGTACAGGATTCTCTAGAGCGGGTCTAGGCAACCTTGGCTCTTTTATGACTCGTAGACTTCAACTCCCAGAATTCCTGAGCCAGCATGGCTCAGCTTGGAAACCTCTCCCTTTCCCCTTAGCATGGCTGGCTCAGGAACTCTGGGAGTTGAAGTCCACGAGTCATAAAAGAGCCAAGGTTGCCTAGACCTGCTCTAGAGCAGTGGTTCTTAACCTTTTTGAACGAATCGCCCCCTTGAGCCAATGAGGAAGTTGTCATCGCCCCTCTCCCCCAACATAACCTCTCAATCACAACATAGAAAATAATTCTTCAATTTATGCAAACACTTGTTTTATTTTCTTTAAAACTGTCATCAGGACATATTGATGCAAATAATTTATTTCTAATCTTTTCCCCATATCTCAACTGTGTGAAAAATTTGGGTGCCACCCGTCACTTTATTCCCAAACTTTGTGATACATATATTCATTATTATCTTATTTATTCAAGACACTTAAATGTAATGACCACTTTGCAATTGCAAGAAAGTGAAATGCCCGAAAAGAAAAACAGTAATATTTAATGATTGAATTACAAGTGAAATTTAAGACGCAAAAAGAAATATAAAAAGGGTAGAGGCTGCTGCGCAACGCGCATGAAGATAAGCAATGTGTCTTCACATATGTACGGCATTCTGTACTGAAGCTAGCTGGAGGAACACTTGAAAACACAATTCAATCCACTAATAGCGAGCGATCTGATGTTTTTGTACGACATACAGTGATTCAGTGTATGAAAAAGTCTCAAAAGTGTCCCCAAAACCTCTCGCTCCATCGCCCCCATATCACCCCCTTTTCGTTCCATCGCCCCCCTGAAAAATGAAATTGCCCCCTGGGGGGCAATATCGCCCAGGTTAAGAACCACTGCTCTAGAGCATCTTTGACAGATGACCATCTAGTTTCTGTCTGAAGACTGCTACCATGTTTCCCTGAAAATACAACCTACCTGGAAAATAAAACCTAGCTTGATTTTTGGGGGTGGGCCTAATATACGCCCTAACCCCCAAAATAAGACCTATTTAAGACCCTGCCCACTCTGTCCCACCGTGGGTTTTTTGGCAGGCCACATTGCATGCCTCCCCCCCTCCCGCCTTGCCTTCTGCCAGTGCCGATGCTGCGAGATGGCCTGAACGTTATGAAAGCCGGGGCCTGAGGCAAGCAGAGGCTGCCTCCTTTCTATCCCTGCCCTGGATTAGGGAATCCAACGGGCAGGTGGGGGTGGGGACTGGCCGGGGCCTCAACCAGCAGCTTCTCTCTTTCGCTCTCATCCCAAATCAGCCTCCGGAGGCGGCCTGCACTGCCCCCCCGCGGGCTTTGCCGGCTTTCTCTTCCTCTGCAGAAGGGCGAGAAAGAAAGCTGGGCGTCCCGAGACATCCCACTTTGAGAGAAAACTCAGGTTTCCCTCGGTGGGGGAGGAAGGCTTTCGAAACTGCCTTATCATCATTATTGTAATCCGTCCCTTTATTTTTTCAAAAAAATGATTTGTATTTACCACGATTAGCCTCCTTGATCGCCAATGGGAAGGCACGGTGTGAATTCTGCGCACGAGCCACGGAAATACAGACACTCGCACCCTCAAAGCTCACCCCGCTTCCTCGCTCGGGGCGCACCACTGCTTTACGTGAGCGTTCAATTTTGTGGCTCAGCTAAACTCTTCAGCTGTGGCGTGGCACAGTTCCCATCCGCTTCAGGAAGCCTGGGCGATGGAAACCTTAAGCCAGGATCTTGGCAGCTGAAGCAATCTGACTCACTTGGGATCAGGTTGGCCGTTGCCAGAGACATGGCCCATCCCCCGTCCTCCAGCTCCGCCACACATGCAGGATGAGCCTCCCACAACGGCCAGCCTGGCCCTGGGCAAGCCGGATTGCTTACAGAGAGAGGCTGTGCGTTGGAGGAGGACAACTGCAAAGGGTGCCTGCAGATCCCTACAGTTCCTGGAGGCTCTGGCACTGTTTTTGGTGCCGCTTGGTTTCCTATCCTGCTAGGCTGATCTGGTGGGCGGGACTGCCTTCCGCCTTCCCCACCACTGCATTGGCAGCTGATGCTACCCTCCCGAGAGGCGGCGCAGTGATTGGACGGCAGCTACCCTCCGAATGGGAATAGACCATCCCCCAAACCTCAGCCATCCTCTCCACGGCAAGCTGCAGCTGATCCAAACCGCTCCCTAAAACAGCGAGGCAGACACGCACACAAGCACGGTGCCAAAAACAACACTCGGAGCCTCCAGGAGCTGTGGGAATCCACGTGTGCCCTTTGCAGTCGTCCTCCTGCAATGCGCTGCCTCTCCCTGTAAGCAATCTGGCTCGCCTGACCCCGGGCGAGCCGGATTGCTTCAGCTGCCAGGATCCTGGCCTAACTTTTCCATTGCCCAGGCTTCCTGAAGCTGATGGGAACTGCAGCCCGCCGCAGCTGAAGAGTTTAGCTGAGCCACAATGCTCACGTAAAGCAGTGGTGCGCCCCGAGCGAGGAAGCGGGGTGAGCTTTCAGGGTGCGAGTGTCTGTATTTCCGCGGCTCGTGCGCAGAATTCACACTGAGCTGTCCCACTGGCGATCAAGGAGGTTAATCGTGGTAAATACAAATCATTTTTTTTTAAAAAAATAAAGGGACGGATTACAATATTGATGAATGTAAATGAAAAGGCAGTTTCCAAAGCCTTCCTCCCCCACCGAGGGAAACCCGAGTCACCTGGTCAGGCGAGGCGATGGCCGAGCCGGGCCTTGTGGTGAAAAAAATAAGACATCCTCTGAAAATAAGCCCTAATGGGTCTTTTGGACCAAAATAAGACCCGGGCTTATTTCCGGAGAAACACAGTAGTGATCATCACCACCACTTTATTCGGTGTTTTGTTTCACTTGCTGACAGATTCATAGATTCAGGAAGTTCCTCCTGATATTACTTTTAGCCCCCGTTTAAAGTCTTACAGAAAATAAGTTCTCTCCTTGTCCTGTTTCACAGCCCTTTCATACCTCATCTTTTCTCTAGGCTAAAGACAGCCACATCCTTTAAGAGTTCTCATTGGGTTTGGTTTCCAGGTCCTTTGTCGTCAAGGTAGCCTTCCTCAGAATTTGCTCCAATTTGTCAGTCCTTTTTGACCTGTTGTATGTAGAACTGGACTCACTACCCCACATGGGGATCTAATCAAGGTAGAGTAGAACAACTACTTTCTGTTATCTGGACTCTCTGCTTCTGTTAACGTACCCCAAGATAGCATTTATCTTTTTAGCAGCTGCATGAACTGTTGGCTTATGTTTAACTTGCAGTCAACAAAGACACTCAGAAGTCTTTCACATGTGGCACTGCCAAGCCAAGGCTCCCCCATTCTACATTTGTGTCATACAATTTCCCTACTTGCTTTGTTCTTCTAAAAACATTTTTTTTTAATGTTTTCCCTGCAAAAGCCATACCATTCTTAAGGAAATGGATCTTACGTGATTCTAATATGTGATCTCCAAACCCAAAAAGTTCCAAGCCTTTGTCTCAGAAATGAATAAAGCTTTACTCCCCAACTCCTTAAGATCCACAGGAACAATTTCCTTCTGCCGATTCAAGGTGAAGCTTTTAACCTGGTGTTGAAGCACTCACCTGCTGAGCTGAAGTCTTTGACTGGTCCTTGGTAGATGGCTTGCAGAGCTGTGAAGTTCGAGAGGGTCGCTCGGTGGAAGGAGCAAGAGAAGAGTCATTACATGATGTCCTAGGCAGCAAATTGAACCAGGTCACCTGTGTTTCTGAGATACTTTCATCATCTGCTGTAGAGTCCGGCAGATCATCTGGGGGTAACTGATCCCCTTTGCCAGGGCTACTGTCTGGGGTGAGCACAGAGCTGTTAAACAATGAAGAGGTCTGCTGTGTCTGGCTGAGCCAAGATAGGAAGGCTGACTGACTGAGGTCGTGCTGAGACTGGCCCAGGGACACTGGATCTTCCAAAAACCCATTGACAGACAAGGGCGTGGGCTCTGGCAACTTGGATTCCAGATGCTCTGGCGGTGACATGCCTACGTTGCCTCTCCACGGCCAACTCCACGACCTTGAAGTTGTGCAGTTCATATAATCAGGATCTGAGGGTGTGTCAGCATTCTCCTTTTTGATTGATGGTGCTTCGTGTTCTTCCTCTTTCAGAGCCTCTCCCTTTTCCAATGAGTTCTTGGACACTGGGAGGGACACTGCTTGGGGGGGGGGGAGGACAACAAAGCAGAGAAAGTTGGGTTTCACCACTAGATGGTGCTCAAACCTACTGAAGTGAAAGAAGCAACAGAATCTAATGTCCCAGTGAAGCAACACAGTATACTACCAGCAGCATCTAAACTCCCTTTTTACGATCCTGTAATCCCTTAATCTGAGGTAGAGTCAGAGTGACTGGATGGAGCTGAGCATTTACTGGCCAGATGCCCTTCCTCACGCCACACGAAGTTCGCAGCAGCTACCTTGGATTGAACTCTCAACCTTCCAAATGGGAGGCAAGTGTCTTCACCACTAGGCCACCATGCCACTCAGTACCAAACGTATCTACGCCACTGAAAAGTAACCCCCACTCTCCAGTTGCCAGATACACATTGTAGATATCACACTAGAAAAATGACAGAGGATGTTCTAGAACAGTGTTTCCCAAACTTGACAATCTTAAGGCATGAGGACTTCAACTCCCAGAATTCCACAGCCAGCAACGCTGGCTGTGGAATTCTAGGAGTTGAAGTCCACATGCCTTAAAATTGTCAAGTTTGGGAAACACTGTTCTAAAAGAAAAAAAAAAGGGAACAAAGAAAATAGTACTTTCCTCTTCCCATTATAAATTATCCGGCTCACAAATTTTTTTTTAACTGACGGCATGATGGTCAAATTGTATAACCCAAATTCAGACGGCAAGTTGGTCAACAGATACTGTAATTCAGTGCTGGAGTTATTAAGGAAGGCTTTGTAAAAGACTATTCTTTATTTTCTATTCTTCTACTATCCTAAATAGCAGACTGATGTTACACTTCTTTAAATTTGTCTTATTAGTTGTTATCTATTGCCAATGGGTAACCATCCTGCTCCTTGGATGCTGGTAATGAAGGTGTATTGTATATAAGTAGCCTTCAACTTACCACTGGTCAATTAATAACCATTCGGGATTATGACGGACTTGAAAAGTTACCTGTCCTTGAAGTTACATCTGTAACTTCTGTGGTGCGGATTGCACTTCAAGAGCTTGGCAGTTGGCTCATATTTATGACTGGTTGCAGCATCCCACGGTCACCTGATAGCATTTTGTGGTGCTTTTTGCCATTTTTCAGCAAAAAAAAACCCCAATGGATAAAATGGATTTGCACTTACAACCATGTGGTTCACCGAATATGTGGCTTGCTTTAACGACTGTGGCAACTCACTTAACAACCACCATAAAGCAGTCACATAGTGCCTCAATGTATGACTGTAATGACTTACAATCAAAATTCCAGTCCTAATGGAGGTTGTAAATCAAAGACTACTTGTACTGAATGATACCACTTAGAACCCAAACCTTCCTTCCTTCCTTCCTTTGCAAAGAAGGAACCACCCACCCACATTCTAGGCTCTGCATACCTTCTGAAGCCTCACAGCCTTCTATGAAGATCCCACCTAGGTGGGGCAGGACCCAATACCGCCGTCGATATCGATCTTGCCCAAGTGATGATGCGCGTAACAATTGTGAGGAGTGGAGCAGCTTTTTGCGAAAGAACATCTGGCGCTGCAGGAAAAAATCGGAACACCAAGAATGTAAAAGGAAAAACCATTGTTTTAAACTTTAATGTTTACACCTATCACCCTTACAGGAATGATAACCACTGCTCTATCTGGCAGAAGCTTCAACTCTTCTATTTTATTTTATTTTTTTTCAACAGCAAACATTTACCTTGGAAAGTTTTTCAATTTGCCTCTCTAGCTCTGGCACGCTGGAAATCAAACTTTCGTTCTGTGGAAGGAGGAGACACATTAAAACCAGATTCCTGATTACCTCCCCAACTAAGTTTTGTTTTGAAAACACTATATCTCCCAAAGGTAAAACATCAACTCTTCTGCTTCTCTTGGCAGTTGAAATGTTTCTCATTAAAAAGCCAAGAGGGAAGTATGACAAATGTACTAGTTGATAGCTGTAACTCTTTAGGAAAATGCAAACTTCATTTAAAGACAAAGAAGATGCAAAAAAAAAAAACCTCTTAAGAATTTTTAAAAAGAATATTGCGATGCTTACGATAGAAATCCTCAAACATCCTTCCTTAAAAAAAAAAAAACATTTTATGCCAGAAGTTGCAACGTAAGAGCCGAGGTGGCGCAGCAGTTAGAGTGCAGTACTGCAGGCCACTTTAGCTGATTGTGTTCAGCAGGTCAGCGGTTCAAATCTCACCGGCTCAAGGTTGACTCAGCCTTCCATCCTTCCGAGGTAGGTAAAATGAGGACCCAGATTGTTGGGGGCAATGTAAATATATATATACATTGCTTACTGGTGTACACCGCTTAGAGAGTGCTTGCACTTAAAGCGGTATATAAGTCTCATAAATAAATAAATAAATAAATAAATAAATAAATAAATAAATGTAGGGTTCCAGTTATTCATTATTTGCTGTGTTAAGAGATTAACATATTTCTGTCCAAACATGTTATCATTATTAGATGACAAGAACACATCATATTCCTCACTGACTCAGTTGGGCTAAGACCTACTTCATTATCTCTCCGGGTTTTGCCTGTCCTTCTTCTTTCCTCTTCTTCTATTTCTTTGTCCTCATTTTCCTCGATGATGCGGGAGCTCCGTCGCCATCGTCCTTCCTCCAAACCGGTGATTTCCGATTCAGGACGCCCAGTCTTCTTAGCTAGGGCAATCTTTAATCTTCAATACAAGAAGAAGAACGGGAAGTGTGAAGAAAATGGGGAAAGGGACATGTTGCCTTACTACGAAGGGCTTAGATCAGGGGTCCTCAACCTTGGCAACTTTAAGACTGGTGGACTTCAACTCCCAGAATTCCTCAGCCAGCAAAGGAATTCTGGGAGTTGAAGTCCACCAGTCTTAAAGTTGCCAAGGTTGAGGACCCCTGGCTTAGATGATCCATATAGTAAAGGGGAAGAACTGGTGAAAAAGTTTTTATTCCTAAATCCTCTGGTAAATAAAAAGTGGTAGAAGCCTAGAGTCACAATAATATTCCATACTACGGTGATTTTCACATTAAATACATTTATGATCAGCATGTTTTTGATTCTTCTTCTTGTCATGGCATTCCCATAGAGAGAATGCATAAATTAATTCTACAGATACATACCTGCGTAACTTCCCCTCAATGATCCACTTGTTTCTCCTATGGTTGGACATGCTCTCCAGAGTCTTGTCAATTTCACTGCAGGATGCAGAAAGAATTGTTAAGGAAAATGGGGAGGATAACAGAGGAATGACGTTCCTTTATCAACATCTGTGTGTAATGCTAATTTCAAAAGACATCTGAAAATGCAATCTGGCTTATAACAATGGAAATTCACCATTCCTTCCTTTAGGACAGCTATCCCCAGGTTATACGGGTATAGTGTTTGGACCCTGCTTCCACTCCCATTTCATCAATACTATTTTACTACTGTTTCCTAAGTTTGAGTATCAGTGGCAACACGTCTGCATTCTCTACCTGTCTCAGAGAAGGCCATCGCAAGTACCTGCACAGGTCCTCCTGTGGATCAAAGCTGCATCATGGCAGCCAGAATTCTATGGCCAATACATATGTCTAAACCCAAACAGCACATACGTTGAGAAACTGAGGCCGAGGGCCATGTATGCATGCCTGCCCACCCTGCAGCTTTTGAATGTGGCCACCTTGGAATTTTCCAAAAGTTCTTACCAAATTGTAACGTTTTAAGCTAGTATGAAATGGGAATTATTACATTCAGGTCCTGCAAGCTGGTGGCTACAGCCACACTCCAAAGCTGCTTTTTGGAGAATGGTGTGTGGCACTACGCTATAGGGCTCTCTTGCATGCCTTTATCCTCCATCTCATGATAACAACAGAATTTTGAGACTCCCACTCTACCCCGATCCATGTCAATATTAAATGTTCGATGCCACACGTAAGATGACACGTAAGTCACGCCTAGCGGTGAGAAGCACAATTGCAGGAGTCACCTAACCTTGACATCACTTACTTGATGATAAGGGTGCTGCTGTTGAGCTCATTCACCAAGAAGGCCAGGATGGCAGCCTTTTTATCTGGAGGCAGTGCCTGGAAGGGTTTCGTTCTCAAGCTGTCACACAGGCTCTCGTCTCCCCCATAGGCTATGAGGAAGCAGCGCAATACCTCAGACACGGTGTCACGGTTTAGGCTTATTTCTGTGAGTTTTTCACCAAGGATCTTCAAAGTCTGGCAAGCAAAATAAAAAAAAGGACCATAGATATTTTGTTGTTGTTGTTGACACACATATATCCCAATTCCTCCTGTCAACAACAGATAGTTTTAAAAATAATTATCACCTTTGCTGAGGAAGCAAGTTCTTATGTGACAACTGAGCAAGCATTTAAAAATTCTACAATCTATGTAACTTGTACTAGATTGCATTTTCTGCAATAAATGTAAAATAGAGCAATGGTGAAAAGTGTGTGTGTGTGTGGGGGGGGGAAACAGATATTTAACCTGGATCTTGTAAACTCTTCAGTTATGTTATACTTTGTAGTTCAAGGTCTAATATGGATAAACAAAGTCCAGCAGTCTTTAAAAGGCCAACTTTCACTTAAAAGAACAAAAGCTAAAACAAACTGGCTGGAGAGATAGATATGAAAATATGCTGACTGCACCTGGTGAAACCTCAAAGCCAGTGGTGGGGTGGAAATAAATTTCCAAGTTATCAAGGGAATTGCACATGTTGCATAGTTTCTCCCTATGTTACTAGAGATATATGAAAAGTATAGTGGGCAGTTAGTTTTTGCACTATTCTTGTTTATACAGCATTGTTATTGTATTATCTTTCTCCACCACTTTTAGTGATGCACAGCTTACGGCATCACGTAGCTGGGATTGGATTAATACGAAGGAATACAAAAACAACTTGCAGCACAATCAGTCAACCTTCCTTTTCAAGGATTCCTCTCATAAAACGCGTCTACGTTTCGCTCTGCAACCTTGAAAACTAACAACAGGTTCAGGGAAACTGATGGATGCCTTAAGATTTCCTTTGTGTCAGAACTGAATCCATAAAGCAATGGTTCCTACAAAAGCAACATTCCAGTTTCTCTTCATTGTAAAACAGAATTTGTATTACAAGCAAACATCTCCAGTATCTGAAAAGAATCTGAAAACTATCTGAACACTAGCCAAGGACTTCTTAACGCCAACATTTAAAAAAACATGCCTTTTCCCCTTTAAACATACATTTTTCCCCTCCTTTTTTATTTTCTGCCCAACCTGTCTATTGTGTTGGCTGAAAAAGAAAACTTGAAACTCTGGGCTTCTAATGAGGAAAACAGCAGAAATGCTTGCCACACTTCTGTAGCCATTTGTTAGCTCTTTGTTTCAGTATGGCAACTACCAAGTATGTTTGTGCATCCAATAAGCTTTAGCTTGTTTAATTGTAGTTTACTGAACACACCACAGCTAGCTAGGTTCATATGTAATAGTGAATCATAAACTATGCAAAGTGTAAGACAGGTCATTCGATTCAGACTTTTGCTATTAGCTTAATCTGCATAGAAATCAAATTATCAATACAAAAGTATTCCCTGGATACAGAGATTTTGTAGGACTGTGCAGCATTTTGGATTTGAAGGGGGGGGGAAATGTTCCGGAGGATACAGAGGCACTCAGATAGCTGTTGTCAACAACTCCTTAAAGCCACTGAATCTCTTCATGGGATTGTTCATGGGACTCTGCAGCAGAAACTGGGAAAAGACCGTTCGACTCAAGAACCAGGGTTATGATAGTGCTGCTATGTGCTCCAAAACACTTTTCCCCCTTTGAATCCAAAGCATTATACAGCAATCTTACTCTGAACTTGGGATTTAGGTCAACTGGTCCATGTTAGTATGTAGATCTTTTCAGTGGCTACAATTGGACAATCCCTGTTAGTCTACAAGGCTGACTTCCAGTGTTGACATTTGGTGACAAGCCGTCTTAGTCCAGATCCTATTAACAGGATATATGTTGAAATAAAGCCAACCCTGCAGGTATTCCTCATTTCCACAGCAGAGCAAAAACCAAGTACCGGTAGGTGCAGCTCTCTCATACTTGGCTCTTCCTTATTTCTAACTGTTAGGACTCTGTTATCTGCTTGAAAATGTGGCTGTAGTATCCTTAAGTCCTAAAGGTTGGCTAAATAGGATGCTCAACATTTTAGTTATAGCTTCAATTCTTTGCAAAATCCATTGACTTGCCTGATGATAAAAGAAGTCAGTTTTTGCAGCATTATGCAAAGTAGGAAAATTATTCAGCATTATCTCATTTTTCTTGGTAAAGAATTTGGAGTGCTTGAGGGTAAGGGCATCCTGACCACACATATACATCCATACCTGACAGCATGAAGGAAGGCCAGGGTCATACAAGGCCACTTTCACCAGCTTTACCAGAAGATCCAACACTTCACCCAAACTATCTCCTACATTGAAGAGGCCTTCTTGGAGGGTACTCAAACTGGGAATTTCCCTGGCTACATCAAAACCCAGCACTTTGCCATAGTTATGTAGGAATTCCACAATGGCTAAGCAATCTGAGAAGGCTTGGCTGGGCAAAACCAATCCAGGAATGCGAGAAAATTCTGGCAGAGGCTGGAGAAAATGGAGAAAAGGCAAAAATATTAACACAATACAAAAGGGAGGTGTGGCACAGACTGACATAAGAAGTAATAGCAATTACTGGTTCCAGTGAGGTAGAGCCCAAGAATATTTATATATTAGCAAAAATCTTGTTCCCACAATCTTTAACTGGTCAAAATGTATCATAGGGCAACAATTTTTGAACCAAATGGACAAACTTACAGAATGTGTCCAACATAAACATAAAACAGTTTATGACATAATACAAAACATAAGACATTTCTGTGCCGATGTTCGACTGTGCTATATAGTTCAATATGAGTTATTTTTAAAACAGATATATCACTGAACGCATCGCAACTTTTCCAATGAAACTCAGTATACTAGAAACTCAGTCACTGATAAATGCATTGAAGAATCTGGTAAGAAAATATTTCTGAAATGAGGACCCAAGGAATCACAGGTTGCCTAGCAAAGTGGTCCCCAATCCCCAGGCCATGGCCCACTACCTGGGTGCAGCACGTTTGGAACCGGGCCACACAAGTAGCGGGCACGCACGTGCGCACATGCAGCTCCAATTGCTCAAGCGGGGGACACTCGTGCTCACACACGAAGCTCCACTTGTGCAAGCAGCGGGCGCTCATGCATGCAGCTCCACTTAATAAGTACTTTCATCCTGGTACTAGCTGATAGGACACATTATACTATGGTCTGTGCACTGCACATTTCTTCCCACATATTATCTGGGAGAAGATATTTCAGTTCTGGCACTTTTTTCACTGGCTGCTGCATGAAGAAGCTGAAGACACCTTCCAAATTAGTAAAGGTTCTATTCTAGGTATAGCTTTAACAATTTGCATAGGTTAATCTTTCTATTACTATTTTTTCCCATTTTTCCAATCTGTTCATCCTATATTCCCCAAAAGTCAAGTGTTTTCCAAGAACCACAAAGACTACAAAAGGCATTCGCAAATATTCTAAAGATTTAAAAATTGAAACAAATTAAGAATTTACACGTGACAAATTGCCAAAGGTACTTTTGATGCAGCATTCACGTTCTTCTGGTGCAGAAATCCCTTCTTTATTGAAAAAGATCCCTTTGAAACTGAAGGGTGAACTAGTAGTACCTTACAACGTGAATCTAGCCAAGCAGACCAACCTACCTGGTGGTCTCCTAAACACATATCCTCAGTGGGCTTTTTCATTTCCTCCAAAATCATTTGCTGCCGCTGCCGTTCTTCCTGACGGCGCTGAGCCAGGAGATTCTTATCAGCCTTCCGGGGAACCTTCCCTGAGGGCGCCGCTTGCTTTTCCTTGGGCTTTTCCTTGGGTTTTTCTTTCAATTTCACTTTCTCATTCGGCTTCTCTGGTTTGCTCTTCTCTGGCTTGCTCTTCTCCTTCTTGATTTGGGGCTGGAGGGGGGTGGGAGAGAGAAGGTAAGTTGTTAAGCTTCGCATAAGGTTATTCCCAACCTGGCAGCTTTCCTCTTTTCCAAGAAATCCCTCACAATCACTACCTACCTTAGGTTTCTTTTTTGCTTCCTTAGACTTGGTCTCCTTGGACTTCGTGATCTTGGCTTCCTGCTTCTGCTTATTTTGTACCTAGGGAGAAAACCAACCATGCTGAGAACACAAGGAAAAACACCAAGGGTGGGGGGAAAAAAATAATTGCTCCATGTTTTAAATAAAACAGTGGTTTTCCCCAACTTCTACAGCAGTGTTTCCCAAACTTGACAATTTTAAAGCATGTGGACTTCAACTCCCAGAATTCCACAGCCAGCATTGCTGGCTGTGGAATTTTGGGAGTTGAAGTCCACATGCCTTAAAATTGTCAAGTTTGGGAAACACTGTTCTACAGCATAGATTTATCCATCGTATTTTGCCTGTTTCACATTCTAACCAAAACATTCTAAACCCCCAAGATTCTGCTAACCAAGACGTGATCTACTTCACATTGCTTAGATTCACCAGGAAGTGAATTGCAGGATTTGGCGTTTTAAGTGCTTTGGTTTTAACAAATATCAACTCCCCTTTCCCCCTACAACTGTAGAGACACAGCTGTAGAAATACTGGGGCATTCGTTCCTTCCCAATGTCAAAATTCAGGTAATTTTGGTTCTCAATTCTCTTTTGCTGTTCTAATCCTTTCACTAAAACCACTCCCCCCCCCCGTCACATTATTTTAAAATATGAAAAAGGTATGTGAACATAACTTCAGTTTTGGATTTTCTCCTGTACAACATGGAAGGCTTATTAAACCTCTGCATATCTGCAGCCTTACTAGTACCCAAGAAAGAAGGTCTTACAATATCGCCTCCATCCTCTACATTTTTGAGTTCACGAATGCCTTTTCTCTCTCAAAAACTGCCCACAAGGATGACCGAGCCTTCTAAAAGCAGAATGCACAAGCTTTTTCTATTTTGTGTACCTTTTGTCTCATTTTTTTCTTGATCTTGGTCATCTTCAGTTTATCTTCATCACTCAGAAACTCTGCAAATATAAAAAGGGAGAATGAGACTAAACTAGCTCTACATCTGATGTCTAACAATACCTTTATTCTTTACAGGAAAGTATTAATTTTCCAAAAGACATTGCTGACATAGGCCAGAAGAAATATACTCAGCATGAACACAACACAATCTTCTTTCATAGCTACAGTTTTGTTCCTTTCTCAGGTTTAACTGTTTCAGCCATTAAACAAGCTTTCGTGATCATGAATTTTTTTTTAATATAAGTTCCATTATGAGGAATGAAATCTGCAAACTCTACCCACATATAAACGAATGAGCTGTTTTAAAGATATTTTGTGAACTGCAAGAATATAAATAATCTAATCACCAAACACTGAGCAATCTACTCACAGGTCCAACAGCAAATATGAATCTATTGCATGATTTTAGTGCTGCTTAGTAAATAAAAATAATAATAAAATACTTTCTGTGGACTATAAGGTCAGATCAAGTGCAGACAAGATATAATGTGTCAACATGTGGCACTGAGGATTTTAGTTCATTGTGTAATGAATAAAAAATTCTTCCTATTTTCCTCCATCTCTTATGTATTCTACACAGTGGCTTCACCAGATGAAACTGGCAGCAAGCCCAAAGAGTCATAATTAAATCAATGTGGCTAAATTGCTCCCTCCCTACAATACCCAGGCAGAGCTGTAGCTTTATTAGGAAGCATTCAGTATTCATGGTAGTGAGAGCATGTTACTGCTTAAAAGTATAATAATTATGGAGACTAGAACACCTTGGATACTTCAAATTTCTTGCAATTAAAACAAAGGTAGGCTATCTCTGCCCCAGAACAGCATGTGACCTGTAAGTCCCTTCTGTGTGGCCTCAGAATATCCTCTGCTCATATTTGCTGAAGAGTAATAACATAGTTCCTCACCATATTGAGTCAGAATGGAAACCGTAGTGATGAATCCAACAGGGGCTTAAAATAGATTAAGATATAAAAAAACCCACACAAAATCCATTCCCCACCCCAACAAAATTTAGCCCAACCCAATTTACTATGGTCCTAAGGCTACCAAAAAATATTCAGTGACCTGATTTGAAGCTACTTACAATAAGACAGGACTGATAGAGCATCCATGGCTGCACTCCACAAAGATTCTATTTAGACATCTGATCCTAAATCTTTCAGCTTTTTAAATAATAACAAAAAAAAAAAAGTTCTAGCCCCCACTGCAGTGGAAACATAAGTGAGAGCTAGGAAGAAGATGGTACCTGCAAGCATTTCCAGTTCTGAAAAGCACATCTCTTATTTTCTGTGTAACTACCTGCCCCTCCCCTCAAGTTCTCCAGTCATGTTCTCTTACCTATATATTCTTACTGCCCCTTGCTTATCCGTTCCTCTCTTCCTGCTGCCACACCGCTCCTTGACAAGAAATTCCAAATTTTGCAAAAACTCACACATCAGTTTCCAGAAAAGGCATGCAAATGAAAAATAAGCAGATTTGCATGCATCTTGTCGATTGGCGTTATTTTTGAGAGCAAAAGTTGAATTTTCTTGCTGCACATAATGAACAGCCTTTCCTCCAGAAACTGACAAACAACCACTGCCACAAGCTAGAATGTTTTCTTGTGAAAGCTACAAGCATGCAAAAAAAAAAGGCTGGTCCGACTGGTACCTTGGGTTTCCAGCTTCTTCAAAACTCTGACGTCCGTCTTGCTCAGCAGGTCAGGCACTTTCACTTTGGGAGGTCGGCCCCGTCCACGTTTCACTTTGGGCATTTCCTTGGCCTTGATTTTCTCGGTATTTCGAGGGCGGCCGCGCTTTCCCGTGATGGCCTGGATACGTGAAGGGATTTCTTCATGTGACAACTTTACCCACTGCAAGCCCTGTGAAATGAAGAAAAGGATGCTGCAGATGTTGTAGCTTACACAGGTCAGTATCCCTTTTGCTGGCCATACTGGTTAGTGCTGATGGAAACTGAAGACCGCAATAACTGCAGGGCAAAGGGCATATCCTCAGAATCCACAGAAACAAATCCTTCCATACACTCCTGTAACATACTTTTGGTCTAGAAGCAGAAAAACAATTTGGGGAGAGGATGAAGAATGGACTAGCGATGTGTTTCAAACTCAAGTTTACTAAGCCATTATGCCAGATACAAACAGACCTTGACCTGCAACCACAATTGAGCCCAACACTCCTGTTGCTTAGCAAGTGAGTCTTGCCCCATTTTACAACCTTTCTTGCCACAGTTGTTAAGTGAATCACTGCAGTTGTTAAATTAGTAACCTGGTTGTTGAGTGAATCTGGCTTCCCCATTGACTTTGCTTGTCAGAGGGTCGCACAAGGTGATCACATGACTCGGAGACACGGCAATCATCATAAATACGTTATCAGTTACCCAGTGTCCAAATTTTGATCGTGCATTCATGGGGATGCTGCAATGGTCATAAGTGTGAAAAAGTCACTTAAGTCACTTTTTTTCAAGTGCCACTGCAACTTTGAATGGTCACTAAATAAATGGCTGTAAGTCAAGGACTACCTGTACTATGCTTCAAGAGATACAGCTGTTTACGAGAATGTCCTCCCTTATTTAAAATACCGAAATTAGGCTCTATGTAGATACTCTGTTGTTACATGGCCCCAGGATTGTTAGCACAATTTTGACAAAAGAACAGATGCTAAAAAAAAAAATCACAAGATGCCAATGATTCCTCAGAAGAGGAAGATTTACCTCAGATGTATCTCGCTCTTCAAAGAAATCGCCCACTGGCATTCGAGGACTGAAGCTGAAGTGTTCACGGCGGACGTTCCGCCCATCATTTCTGCTCAGGTACTACAGGAGAATAAACCACCAAAACATTAATCAAGCACTTAGTTTCTTTTTAAGATGGAGGTTCTCTCTAAAGTGAGCATAGTACCTTTGGAACTACTGAAATACTCTAAATCGGTGTCCAGATAAGCATGTAATCTAAACAAGCATATTGGATAACATCCATTATAACTGATCAACAATCTTAGATTCTGCTTGGTGTCTTACAAGAAGCATTCAAAAAGGGCAAAGCAAATCTTATTCCAAGACCAAGACAGGAACTATATTCATATTCTGACAGAGAAGATGATGAAGGTAGTTACATGATAATAAAAGGCAGGGGATGCTACATGATAGGCCTGACAGCAACTGGAGTTTACGAGGAAGATATGAAGGAGTCTTCTATAACAAGAGGCCACAGTCTGAAATAAAGGATCAAAGAACGATAAGGCAGGCAGATGAATAGTATTGAACCTCATGCTACAGTTCTGCTTAAGAAGCGGGAGGGGAGCCATGGTTCGGGGAGGCCTTTGAAAAAATTTACCTAGTGTGGCAATTGTGCCCTTTCCTAGACCGGGAGAGTTTGTTCAGGGTCAGTATTCCTTGGTCACCTCCATCTGAATTACTGCAACGTGCTCTAGATGGGGCTGCTCTTGAAGACTACCCCAAAACTTCAACTGGTCTAGAATGCACCAGAACACACAGTAATTTTAGGCCCCTCGTAACACCTCTCTTGCGCAAGCTGCTCTTGCTTCCAGTTTCTTTCTGGGTACAATTCAATGCTAGATCATCACCTTTAAAACCCTGTATTTCATGGGATGAAGTTAACTAAAGGACTTCCTTTCCCTAAAGACATCTACCCATCCTGCCAGGTCAGATGGGGTGGGCATACTCCCAGTCCCTTTCCCTAAACATTGCCCTCTTATGGGAGCTAGGAAGCCTGATTTTTCTCTGGCAGCCTGTTTCATGGAACATTCTTTACCCTCGGACTGTTTGGGAAGCACTGAAGTGACAGCAGATCAGAACTCTGATTTAGCACCAAATGTTTCTAAGAAGGAAGGAAGGAAGGAAGGAAGGAAGGAAGGAAGGAAGGAAGGAAGGAAGGAAGGAAGGAAGACCAAATGAGTGTTCTGACACAGTATTTCTTTTCTTTGGAAATAGTGAAAAAAGAGGAACTTGGGTCTGGGCTGGAAAAAAAGCAACATTATTCTCAGCAGACAAAATAAATGTTCAAGAATGATTTTAAAACTGTGTTGCAGAATAGTACATAAAATGGAGAAGTCACTTACAAAAGAAATCAGCCACCACCACTTCCTATCTGGGAAACTTTTTTTTTTTACCTTGATCACCTCTGGAAACTGCTTCATCCTTTTGCCACAGGGTCCATAGTACCAGGTTTCTCCCTGCCATCGGTTGCTCCCTTTCTTGATGCGCACCTCCCTTCGCCATCTGAGTACAAAGATAGCCTATCAAAGACTTGAAACCTGCATCCTAACTCAGAAATATTATTTGCTGTGCATGTCCTAGCACTATACAAAAGCAAAAATCCTTCCTGCCAGGAAAATGGGAAAAACTTACCCATGTTTCAAGGGGTAGTACACCTCTTCTACTGTGGCTATTCTCCTTCTTGGAACATCACCTGTCAGAACAAACAACCATTACCAGTGCTATCAACTAAGTTAGATTTAAAGGCAGCCAAGTAGTTTAGAAGCATGAAGAAAAGAGTTTACTTACTTTTGGCAGATACATTTAGCTGTGAAGCTTCTTTGCTGTCCCTGTCTGTTACAGATATAGCATTGTCTGGACCACTGCTCCTGACCGCCTCTTCCAAAGAGGCATTTAGAGATTCTGGTTCAAGGGACGCCTGTGAATCCAGAAACTCTGTGCCCTCTTGCCCTACTTCATTTACACCTGTCAGCTCCAGGCTGCTCTCTATAACAAAAGAGAAGAAACAGAGAAATAGAATGGCACAGAGAAAAGAATGAACACACAATGAAAAAAGTTCGTTGAGCATTGCAGAGAATAAGACATTCCTTACTTCTGCTGCATTCCTAGTCACTTAGTGGAATGCTACAAGCTGTTTACAGTATACAGTGTAAGACTTGGAATACAGATTTCAAGTACTTAGCCTCGTCACTTGGAAGCTCTTTTAAGAATTCAAACCTTCACATGATAATTACAATTGTTATGTGAACAACATAGTCCTGCGTAACTTACTCAGGATTAATATGCAGTATTGTCTTTTCTTCTAAACACTGTTAGAGAAGGATTTTCTACACTTATTTTTAAAAAATAAACTTCTAGCTGAATAAAATAGCTACCGAGGACTCCGGTTGTACTGTATATGGCATTCCAATATACACCTTTCCAAAGTTCTATACAGTTAGATTTGATTTCTCTCCTTCTAATTAAATTCCTAACTATACCAAAAGTTTATAATAGCTTCCCCTCCCACAGATCTATGCAACTTATTACTTGGAAATGTGTACCTCTGGATCCCACAATTCCCTTTGCAAGTACTAAGCAAAAGCTACTGTATTTGAAGATAAGAGAATGGATCAATGATGAAAAGGGAGCAATGGGTGGGTCTTGCTTACCTTGCAAAACAGACTCTCCAAGAACAGGAGGCAAACTGGCACTTCCAAAAAGAGAGGTATCAGGCTGACTGTCATCTGCCAATAGGCTGAAGGAGTCAGAGTGGTTGAGAGAGGGACTGCCAGGACAATCCAGGGCAGAAATGTCAGGAGGATCCTCCAGTGGAGACTTGCCACTCACAAGTTCAGATGTATCCATTTCATACAGATCTCCTGTCCCTGGGTCTACAAATCATATATTTGTAAAAGTTCTTACAAGCTATTCAAACTAGCAATTTAATTCCACCAATGTCTTTGCGTTACTATCCATAATTTAAACACTAAATATACATAGTGCTCCTTACACTTCTCTGTGTAATTAGACTGGTCCTTAGAAATGCTACACTAAAGAAACATTTCATGATATTTTAAAGAAATTTCTTGTTATTTTTAAGAAAACAGACTGCCACCTGCTTGGGGCTTAGCATCCTAACCATTTGTTAACCAACTTCCAAATCTGAGCCATTGTGCATCTTTTAGAAATCCACTTTAGGAAAGGAAAAAAAAATTAAGAGCCAAATAGAAAAATATGGAAGTTAGCCTGTTACTAGCAACATTTAGATGAAGTGTTTGCATCTGTTTCTGCTGCTTACATCTACAAGTCATATAAGCAAAAAGCACAGTGGTTAAAATGTTGGACTAGGAACTGGGCGACTGCAATTTCTAGTCCTCCCTTGGACATGAAAGCTAACTGGGTGACTTTCAGCCAGTCATTCTCTCTCGGCCCAATCTCCTTCACTGGATTGTTGTTGTAGGAAAAACAGGACATGGGAATATTATGTATGCCATCTTGAATTGGACAAAATAAACATAGGATATAAATCTAATAAATAAGCTGAATGTATAGAATTGGTTGGACAGTATAATTGAAGGAAAAGGCAAACAGGTTGTTGGGTTGGAACTTGTATATTCACATAATAACTGATATGTACATGACCCCTTTATTTATTTGCCCATTCAAAAACACTACTAAAAACATTTCTTTTCCCCTTATTCTCCTTTCTCCCACTGATCCCATATTACTGAAACTAAAAGCAACTATTGGAACTGGAGATCATTTAGACATAAACTGGGCAGAAATCAGAACTAACCATTAATCTTCTGCCTTCTAAATCTAACTAGTTGCCTCCATCATGGTATTGGTCTCTTTTGATGTTTATAATTAAATTATAAAACTAGATTTTAAATCTATATGCATCGACACAATACAAAATATAATTGAATAATAAATTCATGAAGGAGACTGTGCCTCTACTACTAGTCAGCAAAGTGTTTGCTTAAGCCTCTAACCATGAACAGCAATAAGATGGGAACAGGGCTGCAGGGGAATTGTTTGCTTGTTGTTTTGTATATTGCTAATTAGATCTAAATATAAGTGTTTACATTTCCAAGAAATGCTGCTGCTGGAGAAGTTGCACATCAACGACAAAAACAGCAAACATTGATATAGAAGCTACATTTAGGCAAGGTAGTTTTCTTCACTGTCATTAGTTATAAGACTTTAAGAAAAACATTGCCAACAAAACAGTTTTCACAAGGTACCATGTTAATTCATTTACAGAAATATTAAAGTCAACGTACATCTTAATCCAGTTTACAACGGGATAATCTTTTATGTCTCACAGCGGCCTACTTCCTACCATTCCACAAGAAATGCATGGAATACTGTGACGATTGGTAAAACATGGGATACCCAGATCTCTGCAAAAGAGCTCTTGCATTTTGAATAGTAGAGAGGGAAATTTCACCATGAAGGGCTTGTATAACAAACTACATTTGCTGAAATTTTCTTATTTACTCAAGTATGTGGATGTCTTATATTTTTTCATATATTTTTTTTCATTCTGCAAGGACATCATTTCTAAGAAACCACCAGCTCAAATTGTATATGCAAAGAAGAAAATTTCACCCACTTACCTCTGTCTAGTGACTCAAAAGGCTCCAAAGAGTCTTCCAGAGGAGGAGGGATCCGAGAAGCATCTTCAAGGCAACTAGCTCCAGCATCAGGTTCCAAGACAGAGGCCTCTTGGCTAAGAGGCTCAACAACTGGAGAAGAACCATTGTAGCCACATATTTTCAATTCTACAGGAAATATTATTAAAAGTGTCACACGGAACTTTCTAAATTGTGATTTTAAAAATTATATTTCACTTCAGGTCTTGAGGAAGCTTTAAAAATAAGCAGAATCTCGCAGCAAACACACATGCACACCATTTTAAATTAATCAAAGAACTTTTCATTCCTTATCTCAGTAATTCTAACCCTATCGCTACATTTGTCTGGAAAAAATACTTTTATCATTATTCTACAAATGCCATTCATGTCCACGGTACCTGGCAAAATAAGAAGAAAACTGGCAGATCCCTGCCCCAAGTACAATAGTCTGCAATTTAGATTTAAAAGACGGCCATAGTCCTTGATAAATCCAAAAATCATGTTACTAGTCAAATTTGGAAAAGCAATATATTACAGTAAAGTAATCTGACTGTTGGTAGGTAAAGAACCGAGTATTGGGAATTACTATCGTAAGATGTATTTCAAGGCCACACAGATGCCAAGGTGGATATACTACTACTGTAGTGAAGGGTAGGAGGCACAGTTATTTATTTCTAGAAATTTAAAGAAACAATTAGAAGTGGCAGATACTGAAATCTTAACAGTAAGCAAGACTTGTACAGTACCTACTCTTCCAGCTTAAGTTGGAATTAATCATAAGGTATTACTGGATTTAAGATAAGTTAAATTTCAGCATGTCCTGAAATATTATTGAATATAATTCAATAGTAAGCATTCTGAATAAAAATTCCGAGGACCATTTGTGAGTTATACCTGGCTGTGCATTTTCCAGCTCCATGCTGCCCAACAATCTGGTGCCATTTTCTGCAGCTGTAGATGGTGGTTCTTTCACAGCCTCTTCATTGCCTGGCTCATCCTGCTGTGGTGAGAAGTCCTGATTCCCTGAAGCAAGCATGGGAGAAGGCTGAGATGATGTGTAGAAGCTTGTTGGGCCATTTTGTAGGATTTCAAAGTTCTGATCATCAGGGAAAGAGTCGTAGAGCTCTGCTGAGTCAAAATTTAATCCCATGGTCCCTGGGGTACCATTGGCCCAGAACTCTTGCCCACTGCTTCCCCTCAGACTGGTGTTATGTCCAGGTGAGTTCTGCCGATTGTTCTCAAGGGTACCGTTCAATGGATACTGGGAGAACAGCGGACCATCTTTGAGATTGTTGCCGTTGCCAGAGGGATACTGGGAGTAATTCCACAGATAGTCATAGGGATGATGGAGGTGAGAGTTGTTTGAGGAACGGGTCCCTGAAGTACTAGCATGAGATACAGTAGATAAGCCATTGACATTCATGTCTCCATTTAAACCTGCCATGAGGGACAGAAGAAGAAGAAAGAACAAATACTGAGAGCTAGTTTGGTCACCATCAAAGTTGATACCAGCCAGAGCACAGAAAAACTCAAAGAAGCAATGCAATATCGGTAGATTGGAAAGACTTGGCCCATGGAATGGCTAAGAGTCAGAACATCATTGTCAGTTTGATGCAGTAGTTAAGGTGCTGGCCTAGAAGCCAGGAGACAGTGAATTCTAGTCCTGCCTTAGACATGAAAGCTGACCGAACAGGACTAGACTAGGACTTGGGCCAGTCACCCTCTCTCAGCCCAACTCACCTCACAGGGTTGTTGTTATGGGGAAAACAGGAGAAGGAAGAAGTTATGTATGTTCACCATCTTGAGTTCCTTATGAAGTAATAAAGGTGGTATTAAAAAGATCTAATAAATCAATAAAAAATAAATACCAGGAACAGTACTAAGAGAGAGATTATCTTCTTCTTTTAGGCCTGCCTTCTTTTTCAAAGTAGAACCAGCAAAATGAGAGAAGACATAATAAAGCTGAATACTCTACTCCGTTAATGCAAGTCAGCATCCTCTCACATTTTCTCAGCCCACATCATTTTCTGGCTATTTCCAACTCCATCCTTCAATTTCTCCCACTACGGAGTTGCTTGAAGACATAAAAAAACAAACGCACGGATACAATTGTATTCTCATTCTTTCTTTTTGCACTGCATTTTGAACCACAGCCATATTTCATGCACTTCTGGCTCAATTCACTTTCTGCTACAGATATGCTTATCCTTGCAATGTACACCACAACAAGAAAAAAAGTTTCCCCATGTCTGTCACACAAGGAACAGTCAGAAAGGGTATTTTTATTCTACTTTTATCTTGCATTACAATGTTAAGGGTGGAAGTTGTTGCTGAAAGACAAGTATAACATAACAAAGAATGTAGGCAAAGAGAAGAGTGATGAAGGCAAAGAGAAGTAAAAAATGATTCTAAGTGAATTGGGAAGAGGAAGAATAAACACTCAGTTTTTATGTTATGTTCTAATTTCTAAAGATTTGTCACATTCTACTGTATGTCATGGTTTTGACGATAACCATGAATGATGAAATCTCCTGCTCTATGCAGTCAAATGGTGTTGTTTCAGTATGAAAAAAGCTAGAATCAAGCTGTGGTTTATGTTCTACCATTTTCCCTTAATTCATCCATAAAGTGAATGGCTTCAAGGATTGTGCTGATTTTTATAGTACAAGTAGTCCTTGACTTATGATCATAATTCAGCCCAGAATCATACATCATGGCAGACATTAAGAGGATCATCACATGACCATACCCAGTTTTACAACCTTTTTTGTGGCGGTTGTTAAGCAAATGCCACGGTTAAGTAAACCTGGTTTCTTCAATGGCCGTTTTTTGCCAGAAGATGGAAGTGAATGCTGGAAATTAGGGGAAAAAAAACACACACACACAAAAATCACAGTCACATGATTGTGGGACACTGCAAACAGTTACAAATGTGAGTCAGTTGCCAAATGCCCAAAATGTGATCATGTGACCGTGGGTGAGGGTGCAGCCATTTGGGATTGTTTACCTTTTAGCAACAAGACAAAACAACAGCAGCAATGTTTCCAAACTTTTCAAAATAATGTGAAGTTTAACATATGGTAAGGAAAATTACATTTGATTAACAACTTCTATTCACAGCAAGCAGATTACCTTTAGAGGTTCACTGGACAACCTATGACTTGTCAGGTCTTTGTTTCAGAGATATTTCCTTACCTAACACTTGCACATCCTCCTCTTATCACAGTGGTTCTCAACCTTTCTAATGCCGCGACCCCATAATACAGTTCCCCATGTTGTGGTGACCCCCAGCCACTTATACATCACCGGGTGCTAGGAGCGTGGCCAAAGAAAAGGGGGGGAAAATGGCGGACAGCCTTGTTTGGCGACCCCCGTGAAATGGTCGTTGGACCCCAAATGGGGTCCCGACCCACAGGTTGAGAACTACTGTCTTATCACATCAGTCTAGTATCCTGACACATCTTCCACAACATGCGCCCCCTCGCACACACCCTCCCCATCTCCCGCACTGCATCCTGTGCAATCTCTCACACACTTGCACAATGTCCCCAACCTGCACTGGGCTTCTTGTGAACTCCCTTGTATTCCTGCAACCCACATGGTGCCTCCTCTCCACAGGGAGATATGCAGGGATATGGTGTGGGTCAGGAAGGATGTGCAGGGTTGCATGAGGCGCCCCACATATCAGGGAGGGCACAGGGCATACATGGGGATGGGGTGCAGAATGGGTTAAGGTCCAGCACACGTACAGAGAGGTTGGGGAAGCTGCAACGGTGGGGGAGACTTAACCAAGCAACCTGCGATCTTCCCTGCCAGCTTCCCAATTGCCAACACTCCCTGCAAGCTTTCCATAAAAAAAATATTTTTCTTGTGGGAGGTGGCAGAAGTGTTGGCAATCACAATCGAGTTTATACTTCTGGCTGGCTTCCCCACTGACTTAAGAAAGAGAATGGTGGAAATAACATCATGTGACATGGCTGACTGCAACAGTGTGGCAGTGCTGAAGCAGTCCCTTCCCCAAATTTCATTCCCAAGGAAGTAATGGGTAGTTTGAGGTAGTTTGGTTCAAACATTGTTGCCCTATGATGCACCATTTTGCTCAAATGAAGGTTTCAAGCAGACACAAGAGATTTTGTGTATATAGATATTTTCAATGTAAACTAAAAAAAAAATCATATACGGTCTAGGCCTTTTTCTCCCCTAATAATAAAATTAGGAAAGCTCAGACTTTTTGTGCACCAACTCTACTATCTGCGTGGATGTAACGATACACAAAATCTTTTTTTATTACTGAATTATCCATCTCTATTAAGACCTTCTGAACCTCACATTTCATTGCAAAGTAATAAAGTAATAATTCTGTACCCAAAGAACCGTACACCAAAAAGAAAACAGCTGGTAGCATTAGTAACTGGACCGTGTATAATCAAGGATCAAGTCTACTATTAATATCACCATAATGGTCAGGTCCATTGGTCTTCACTTACTTTTGCCTTGTTGGGGGAAGTTCATAGGAGATCCATTTGTGTAGACATTGTCCCCTGAGGAAGGAGCAGGTTTCAGTCCTGAGGCAGCAGGTGAAGAGGGAAGGCCAGTGAAATTAAAATGATTGTTTGCTTCCATTTCTAAAATAAAAAGACATTCAAGAAAGACTTAAAGGCAATAGAAAGATACATTCTAAGTGTGTATTAGTATACTGCCTATACCCACCTAGTTGATGGATGGAAACAACAGTATGTTGGTTTCCATGGTAAATTAGAGATTTAAAACCTTAACTTGCATAGAACAACAGGAGCACGCCTGTGGTAAAACTGAGTTTTGGTAGAACATTTGACGTACTAGCCTACGTCTGCCAAAATTGATTGATACTGTAGTGTAGAAAGCGTTAGCAATCAATGCAGCATGTGGCACGGGTAACCTATTGTACACCCTCTCTATCTTACTAAAAACCATTAGGTTGAAACCCCAATTGACAAAAGCTGACAGGCAGAGATGAACAGGCAGAAATCAATATCTATGGATCTGACTGGGCGATAAACACCTGGAATGAGTTTTAAATAAGTTTTCTCTTCTTGTTCATGCCTTTAATATAATTCATTTATTGTTGTTTTTTGCTATTCTATGCTTTTATTAATGTTGCTTCTCCTTGAAAAGTTATGCAAGTAGTCCTCAACTTACGTCTGGGAACTTAGCAAACTGTTCTATGTTATCAGAAGCCGCCCCCACCCCCAAAAGATACTTATGACCTGGTCCCAAAGTTCTAATGGCTGACTTGCCCCCTGTGGTCATATGATCGTATTTCGAGTGCTTGGCAACCAATCTGTATTTATAGCAACGTGACTATGATTTATTTTTTTCCCCAAAACCAGCACTTATTTTGGGTTTTGGTAAAAATGCCCCATAGCAAAAATGGGTTTGTTTAATGACCACAGTGGTCATTTACTGACTGCTGCTAAAAAGGTTTGAAAATTGGGTCGGTCATGTGGGTGATCCTCTTTACAGCCATCACAACCTACGACCATAATGGGCAGGCTCCACCACAGTTGTAAGTCCTTGCAGTTTTAAGTCCATTATGGTCATAAGTTGTGGTCGTCATTTAATGATGATTCAAAGTTACAACCATACTCAATTAAAATCCTAGGAGCACACGTTTGCAATTTGGGCAATTCTATCCAACCGATATAGGATTTTTTTTCTCTCTTATATTTTAAGAGGAAAATGTTTCAACTACTAATGAAAGCAAACCAGGCTTTAGTCTACTCTGCCAAAAGAGGCAGCCCTCGGCTTATGTTCATTTGTTCTACAACTGTTCAAGGTTGCAGCAGTGCTGAAGAAAACGGAACGTATGACCAGTTGTCCAAATTCCGGCCATTGCATCATCCCCATGGTCATGTGACCATGATCTAGGTGTTGGAATCGCAATTACAATGTCCTAGTGTGAGTCATATCATGTGATAGTCATTTGTTATCTTCCCTGCCAGCCTCCCACAACCCAAGTTGTTTATTTTTCACATTTCTGTATTGCCCATCTCCCGGAAAGAGGGACTTTTGGCAGTGTATACTAAAATGTTAAATTATAAAACAGTTTATATAAAAGTTTTAAAAAATTAAAAAGTTTAAGAAGAGGGAAGAGATTAAAATTAGTTAAAAGGTGAAGGGAGGGCTTTCAGGTTACTGAGGAAGCTGGCAGGGAAGGTTGGAAATTGTGTCAATAAGTCGCTTCCACTGCTTTTTTTCCTCAGTGAATCTGCCATGGACTATGCCAGAGGTAGGCAACCTTGGCTCTTTTATGACTCATGGACTTCAACTCCCAGAATTCCTGAGCCAGCCATGCCAGGTGAAGTCCATGAGTCATAAAAGAGCCAAGATTGCCTACTCCTGGACTATGCGATCCAAAAGATCTTGTACTAAGTAGGGCCCCCTGCCTGCTCATACTCCATAGTCTGTGCCAATCATCCTACAGGCCCTCTCGTAGCTTCTGCCAACCCTGGTGCACTTTCTAGCACACACACACCCAAAGCCTTCCCCTATGCTCCTTACCTAGGACTCCTGCCTTTTCCCTTGTAACAATGTGCAAGTCCTAAGCCAGCGGCTCCCAACCTTTTCTATACCCCGCATCCCCTAGAACGCTTCTGATATATTCTTGCACCCCTTACAAGAATTTGAAATAACGGCAACGAATTATGCATATACACTATAATTTTGAAAACCCAAGTTTTCACATCACCTGATATATTGTCTCACACCCCCGGTTGGGAATCCCTGTCCTAGACTTACAATGGCCACCACCCTGCTGGGATTTCTGACAGTAAGTGATGCATGTACAAGTAATCCTTATTTACCATCTACAACTGGAACCAGCAGTTCACTACCATTAAGCAACATGGTCACTAAGTGGAAAATAATGAGACTGTGCTGGACTCATGCCACTTTCACTCCCATTGTTAAGCAAATCACCATTGTCAGTAAGTGAGATATCACGTGACCATGACTTTCAATTTCACTTCATTGTTCTCCATTAATTCTGCGTATTGGAAGCCGGTTATGAAGCTCGCAAATGGCAATCACATGACTACAGGACACTGCAATGCTTGTAAATGTGCACCAGCTGCAAAGTGCCTGAATAGCAATCATGTGATTGTGGAATGCTACAGTGGCTATAAATGTGACTATTAATTACAGTGCTTTTTTTTCCCCAACCATAACTCTGAATGGTTGCTAAACAAAGCTATCGCTAAGCGAGGACGACCTCTGTCAGTAAAGTTAAAGGTCAAGAACTGCTTCTTTTTTTCATCTATTTTGCAAGATGAAAAATAAATAAACTAGAACAAAAAAAATCAATAATGCTGTAGAATTAGAAGGAATAACAGTTAAGAAATCCAATGAGTCTACTTAAAAAAAGGAGAGGGAAATAAACACATTCATGTAGATAAATAAACTTGAGGATAAATATGAACATTTTCAGATTTCCTGTCAAAATTGTATTTCTACATGTGAAATGAATCAATTTCTTGTGAAGGGTTGACATTTGTTAGGAAATATGCTAAGTAAATCAGCCTCAAATTTCATATACCGGTAATATATTGCGAGTGATTTTCTTCAAAAATTCATGCTTAAGAACTTAAAAAATGTTAGTAATATGATTTTTAACTCGTCCTATGGCACAATAAAGATGATTTACTGGAAAATCTCACTTCATCCTCCACCAAGAAGCTCAGCTTAAAAAGTGCTGTCTGTGACTCCTTTGGAACTTAGTTGTGTCTGTAGGATAATTCTGTGGGGGTTTCCATGGGTTGTTTGGGTTTTCTACAGCAAGGCCATCTGATTAGCTGCTCCTAGAAGTAGACATACAGTAAATTCTAAACAAGCCACAAACAGCAATTATCAGCAGAATTTCCAGCAATTTCTCTATGATCTGACAAGTACTTGGGTATGTTTCCCAATCAGCTATTTTTATAGGTTACAAATCATCTAAGCTATGCTTAATAATTAATTTGAGAGTCAATGAAAAAAAAAAGGCTGGATAATCCCCAAAAGTAAGAACAAACTCAATCAGAAACTGATGAATTTGGTGAGGGTCACAGCTCTATTCTGAATGCAACAGCAACTTTAGAGCAGGTTTATATATATTATTCAGATTCTAAAATAAACCAAGAACATGTCATGAATGAAGTACATACATACTTGTGTGTATGTGTACTTCATTCATGACAAATTCTTAGTTTATTTTAGAATATGAATAACCAAACTGTGCAAAAGAAATAATTAGAAGAAAAAGCAAATAAGAGTCCCGTTTCTCAGTTGCTTATTCAAATAACACGAGAATCTATATATACACATATATACATGTGGTGTGTGTGTATGCATAATTGCTCTGCTACTATATTTACATAGTATTTGTTAGAAAACAATGCTTCCAAGCTATCTGTGATTGCTAAAAGTTGAAAACAATTTGATGGTACATTATCATTATCATTATCACATACTGGAAAGCCACTATTACTTAAAAGAAACTGTCAGGGGATATTTAGGGGGAGGGCATTCCTTAAAGTGAGGGTCATTATAGAGAAGCATCTACTTCTGATTTTTACATCTTAATATCATAGCGATTACTAGCAGAATTCCCAGGAATTTCTTTCAGGATGTATTTACTGGACAGACTGATTCTAGCAGCAGAAAGTGCAGAAAGAGCAATGCTACCTGAGTCTCACAATCATTCTGTCTAATCTAGTAATTCATTTTTTTTGTAACTCAAGTTCTTCTTTTCAAGATTAAAAAAAAAATTCCCCATGAAAGCACATGAATTATTTTAATCATAAATATTCTAATAGAAAGTATAAGTACGGTATTGCTTGTTTGGTATGCAGATCCAATGGCCACCAAGATTTCCTTAAGAGACAGCAAATTGAGGTTTCAGGCAGATAGTGGCCCCAGATGATTTTCATATATTGAGCATAAACTGGTTAGATATATGTTAATGGCCATCATTGAGAATGAACTTATACTAATTTGGAGAAAGCCACTGGACAGAATTATGTAGACTGAAAATTCAGAGATATTATAAAACAAAGAGGCTTTCAGAACTGCAAGCTGGAAAGTATTTTGGGTTCCCATACTGGCAAAACACATTTCTACCACATGTGATTCAAAGACAAACTGGTTCCATATTGTTTCAAGAATTTTAGGAGTAATAATAAGTGTACACTACACTGTATTTCCCCCTAAGACAAAGAAAACAGCAAAAAAGGCCATCTGTTGTGGAAAAATTTATACCTCACCTTTTAATTTTCTTAAATAAAAGCTCTTCTACCAAAAAGATGCTGTTGGTAGCAATAATGTAAACAGAATAAATATACTATGACCCAAACATATAAAAATAAAAGTGCAAACTGTCAGAAAAATATGGGGATAAAAAGGACCAACTATTCTAGATTAAATTGATAGAAAAGATTGTTCTTGTTGCTGAATGATGAGTGAAAACTATATATAGGAAAACATGGAATTTTCTCTTTAGGTATGTGCATTTCTTTTGACAAGCAGATTCCACACTCAATTCTAGAAGGCACAGAAAATCATCTGCACATAGTCAAATACATGAAAAAACCAAGTTTTAAGGGCCCTTA